CACCTCACCTGCCTAAATCACGCCTGCCAAACTGCCACCTGCGCATACGTCATCTGCCCACGCCCATCGCCCACCAGACACTTGAAAGCTCTCTGCTCGTGGCTGCTGACGTCATCAGTGCCATTTCCCGAAGCCGCAGCAACATTATGTACTGCAGGTGGGTGTGTGTGTGGGGGAAAGGGGGGTTGTTGGGAGGGGAGGAGGGAACAGGGGTGCGTGTTGGTGGGTGTGAAAGTGAGGTTTGCCGGCTGGATTTATGGGGTAGAAATGGGTGTGTGCACATGCGTGTGCTTGTGTGTGTGAACCCACGTCTGTATGCACCCACGTCTGTGTGCTTGTTGGTTTGTACGCTGTGTATTATGTCTTCTGAGTGTACCATTGCTGCTGCTTCAGCCATACGTCTTCCTCTCCCTATCCCTCCACCTCCCCCTCTCCCCCTACCTTACCCGTTATTATACCTACCTTCTCTTCGTCAACCTCAGTTTCGTCCATCCCCCGCCCCCCTTCCTCTTTCTTCCGCTCCTTCTCCATGTTCGCTGTAGTCCTCTCAATTCTTGTCAATTCCGTTCAATTCCCTTAAATCCCTCAATTCCTCTCAATTCCGTCAATTCCTCTCAATTCCTTCAAATCCCTCTATTCTCTTTAACTCTCCTCAACTCGCCCTTCCATTCACCAGCAACGCGCTGCTGATCAAGACCATCCTCCCGCTCTCCTTCTTCCATCCCATCTCCTTATTCCCCGTGGTTTCCTCAATTCCCTCATGTCCCCCTGGGACCCCTCCCCTCACCAGCAACGCGCTGCTAATCAAGACCATCTTCACGCGCTGCTCTCCTGCCTTCATCACTCGCTTCAGGGTAGGGTACCTTACCACGCATGCTGTGCTGCCGGTGTCTGTGCAAGTGTCATGTGCCATATCCCATATGCCATGCGTCATGTGCGTCATGTGTCATGTGTCATGCTCCTATGTCATGCTCCTATGTCATGTATCTTCTGTGATGCCTCCAGAGCGATCAAGGCAATCTCAACTTAACCATGTTCTAAACTTCTTTCTATTGCTCTCGCCTTCTGTTCCTACCACTCTCCCTCTCTTTCATCCAGGTGGTGATTCTATCCCGTGCTGTGGTCGTGCTGCTGCTCAAGAACGCGCTGTTTAACAAGCTGGAAAGTGGTTGCAAGGGACACATTGAAGCTCATTCTCGCTATTCCTACCACTCTCCCTCCTTCCCATCCAGGCGGTGTCCTATCCCGTGCGGTGGTGCTGCTGCTGCTCAAGAATGCGTTGTTCAACAAGCTGGAGAGGGCGAGGGATGGCAAGGGGCACAATCGCGCTCAGTCTCGCCCTCATCCCACCCCACTCCCTCCATTCTATACAGGCTGTGATTCTATCTCGTGCAGTGGTGCTGCTGCTGCTCAAGAACGCGCTGTTCAACAAGCTGGAGAGGGCGAGGGATATCAGTGCAGAGCTGCTGTTCCTCATTGCTGAGAGCGACGCCAAAACGCAGCAGCTGCTGGCGAACCTGCTTCCCAAGGTGCGTCCACTGTCACTGTCCCATCCCATGCATCAATGCCTTGCCTTAGTGTCCGTCAGTGCAGAGCTGCTGTTCCTCATTGCTGAGAGCGACGCCAAAACACAGCAGCTGCTGGCGAACCTGCTTCCCAAGGTGCGTCCACTGTCCCATCTCGTGCATCGATGCTTTGCCTGAGTGTCTCTCCAGTGCAGAAATGCTGTTGCTCATTCGTCAACACCAATGCTCATAACGCAACACTTGCTGGCCAGCCTGTTGCGACATTCTGCACTGCAATAATGCTTCGCAAAGTCCTGTGTGTGCTTCTTGCTCGGGGGGTACAGGGGATGCCTCCTTGCCTCGTAACTGAGCTCGAAAGTAGCCTACGTTGGCCTCACGCTCTAATGCGTGCCCCTCTTTCCATCATTGTTGTTTGCAAATGTCGCTGCAGGGTTTCTTTTTTGTGCTCAAGGACAAAACAGAAGCTGCTAGAAAGGCCGAGCTTGAGGTAAGGGGGGCAGGGGGAGAGGGATAGTAAGTGAAGTAGAATGGTTTGAGGTTTGAAACTTGACGTCGTGTTTGAGAAATTGGGAATGCGAATGTGATTGTGTGGATCCGTCTAGGTGCAGTGTGGAGCTCGGTCAGGAGAACATCGTGCAGTGTGGAGTCTGATTGTTCTCCGTATGTTTGGAGTTGCCACCTCGACCAACCCGACAGGAGCAAACCAAGGCAGCAGCAGCAGCAGCTGCAGCAGCGGGTGCTGGGCTCTGCTTTACTCCACTTCTGTCTAACTGATTTTCATTGCTCTCGTATGCCTGGGATTGCCTACTCTCCCCAACCCAACAGGAGGCAGCCAAAGCCGCAGCAGCAGGCGGAGCAAGCTCTACCCTAGCCTCTGGGCTCAAAGTCGCAGCAGCAGTGGCAGCAGCATGTGGTGCTGGGCATTCATTCTGATTGTTCTTGTATGCTTTGGATTGCCTACTCGCCCCAATACAGGAGGCAGCCAAAGCTGCAGCAGCAGGCGGAGCAAGCTCGACCCTAGCCTCTGGGCTCAAAGTCGCAGCAGCAGTGGCAGCAGCGGCAGCAGCAGCAGCAGCCGCAGCCAGCACAAACACAGGCACAACACCCGGCAGTGGGACTGCTGGGGGGGAAGGCAGTGGGGGAGCGGTGGGGATGGGCGGTGGGAGTGGGGGGTTGGGGAGTGTGGTGGCGCTGGGGGTGTGGAAGGAGGCACTGGAGATGCTGAGGAGGCGGAGCATCACAACGCCTGTGCTGGTGTGGAACGATTCTAAGAGGCATGAGCTGCACGCGGTGAGTGGAGCAAGAGGTAGAGGCAACCCCGGTGTTAGTGGGAGCAGGGAAGATTCACCTCTTTGCGTCCGCCCTGGGGCGGACGGGAGGGAGTAGGCAGAGCCACTTGCAGCAGTGGGAGCAATGAATTGTACTTGTAGGCTGTAGCATCCACATCTCACACACATATTACCTTATGCCGTGTTCGCCCTGGCAGTACCTCAAGGAGCAGGTGGAGGCGTTTGATGCGGCCCTGGGGCGGACGGGAGGGAAGCAGATGCAGCTATGGTTCCGGGAGCACGGAACTCTTTCTGTCTGTCGCACACAGATCTCACATACTCCTGTCTGTGTTCGCCCTGGCAGTACCTCAAGGAGCAGGTGGAGGCGTTTGATGCGGCTCTGGGGCGCACGGGAGGAGGCAAGGATATTCATTTCAACACGGACGACTGCGAGTGCTGCTACTCCCCTGCCAGTAACGATAATGGTGAGTGAGCGGTGTGATTACGGCGAGTGGCGTGGCAGGGCAGGGACCCTAGGGGCAGGCGAGATGAGGCAAGGACATTCACTTCAACACGGACGACTGCGAGTGCTGCTACTCCCCTGCCAGTAACGATAATGGTGAGTGAGCGGTGTGATTACGGCGAGTGGCTTGGCAGGGCAGGGACCCTAGGGGCAGGCGAGATGAGGCAAGGACATTCACTTCAACACGGACGACTGCGAGTGCTGCTACTCTCCTGCCAGCAACCACAACGGTGAGTGAGTGCATGGTGGGTGGGATGGTGGGGCCGGGAACTAGAGGCAGACTAGAGATGTGGCAAGGGCATTCACGTTCGCTTCAACACGGGCGACTGCGAGTGCTGCTACTCCCCTGCTAGCAACAATAATGGTGAGTGAGTGAGTGGGTGGGTGAGTGGTGGGGTGACAGCGAGTGGCGTGGCAGGGCAGGGACCCTAGAGACAAGCGAGATGAGGCAAGGACGTTCGCTTCAGCACTGACGACTGCGAGTGCTGCTACTCCCCTGCCAGCAATTAGAATGCTGAGTGAGTGAGTGATGGGATGATAGGGCAGGGAAGCAGGTGCAAATGAGAGATGTGGCAAGGACATGTGCTGCAAGCGGGCTGCATCTCTGCTTCACGCTGCTCCACGCTGCTTCACGGCACGTGTCAGTCAGCTACCTGTCTTTTGAGGCGCCTCAAAATGTTTGCTGCAAGCGGGCCGCGTCTCTGCTTCACGCTGCTGTACGCCACGTGTCAGCTACCTATCTTTCTTGGCGCCTCAAGATGTGTGCTGCAAGCGATCTTTGTCTCTGCTTCACGCAGCTATACGGCACGTGTCAGCTACCTTTCTTTTGAGGCGGCTCAAAATGTTTGCTGCAAGCGGGCTGTGTCTCTGCTTCACGCCGCTCTACTGCACGTGTCAGCTACCTATCTCTCAACCTACCACCTCCCACATTCCCCTTGCCCCTCTCCCTCATGTACACCTTCCCCAGGTCTCTCTTCCCCCCTCCCCCCTAACCCCCTCCGGTTCCCCAGACGTGTGCAAGACTATCGTGGAGGGGGTGCATCTAGAAGTGCTGCTACAACCTTCCGACGACTCCTCCCCTGCACTACCGGCCCACTGGAAGCTGGACGAACCCCCTTGTCTCAGCGTACTCTTTTCCATGACTTCTTCCCCTTCTCTCCCTTCCCTCTCATTCCCCAGACGTGTGCAAGACTATCGTCGAAGGGGTGCACCTAGAAGTGCTCCTACAGCCCTCAGACGACTCCTCCCCTGCCCTGGCCGCCCACTGGAAGCTGGACGACCCAGCTGCGCTCTTCACGGCCACGCTGCAGGCGCTGCTGCTGTGCTTCACGCCGCTCTACGGCACGTGCGAGCTGCCCACCTCTCACCCTACCGCCTCCCCATTCCCTTTGCCTCATCCCCCTCCTGCACCCTCTCCGCCGTCCCTTTCTCCCGTCTCCCCCGTCCCCCCTGGTTCCCCAGATGTGTGCAAGACTATCGTTGAAGGCGTGCATTTGGAGGTGTTGCTACAGCCGTCAGACGACTCCTCCCCTGCCCTGGCCGCCCACTGGAAGCTGGACGACCCAGCTGCGCTCTTCACCGCCACGCTGCAGGCGCTGCTGCTGTGCTTCACGCCGCTCTACGGCACGTGCGAGCTGCCCGAGATCGAGCCGCGGCTGGCTGTGGACGCGCTGACTTGGATGTACGAGCGGCATGAGGGGGAGATTCGAAGTGTTGTAGAGAATCTGCACGTGGTGGAGGTGAGTAGGGGACAGGTGTGGAGAGGGAGGAGGAGGTTGAGAGAGGTTGAGAGAACGGGTAGTGCCGAGGGGGTAGGGAAACGAGAGGAAAGCAGAAGTGGTGAGTTGCAGCAGGAGTGTGGGCTTGCGTGGATGGTAGGAAGGGGCTGCGCTGCTGCTGTGCTTCACGCCGCTCTACGGCACGAGCGAGCTGCCCGCCGCGGCTGGCTGTGGATGCGCTCACGTGGATGTACGAGCGGCACGAGGGGGAGATTCGAGGCGTGGTGGAGAATCTGCACGTGGTGGAGGTGAGTGGGGAGCGGGTGTGGATGTATGAGCGGCACGAGGGGGAGATCCGAGGGGTGGTGGAGAATCTACATGTCGTGGAGGTGAGTGGCAGGTGGGGGGGTGGGTATGAAGAGAGGAGGTAGGGATGAATTAAAGGGAGGGCTGTGGATGCGCTGTCCATGTGGTGTGCACTGCCCACGTGTTGTGTACTGCCCACGTGGTGTGTACTGCCCATGTGGTGTGTACTGCCCACGTGGTGTGTACTGCCCACGTGGTGTGTACTGCCCACGCGGTGTGTACTGCCCACGCGGTGTGCACTGCCCACGTGGTGTGCACTGCCCGCGTGGTGTGCACTGCCCACGTGGTGTGCACTGCCCACGTGGTGTGCACTGCCCACGTGGTGTGTACTGTCCACGTGGTGTGCACTGTCCACGTGGTGTGTACTGTCCACGTGGTGTACACTGTCCACGTGGTGTGTACTGCCCACGTGGTGTGCAGTGTGCACGTGGTTTGCACTGTCCACGTGGTGTGTACTGCCCACGTGGTGTGCACTGTCCACGTGGTGTGCACTGTCCACGTGGTGTGCACTGTCCACGTGGTGTGTACTGCCCACGTGGTGTGTACTGCCCACGTGGTGTGTACTGCCCACGTGGTGTGTACTGCCCACGTGGTGTGCAGTGTGCACGTGGTTTGCACTGTCCACGTGGTGTGTACTGTCCACGTGGTGTGTACTGCCCACGTGGTGTGTACTGTCCACGTGGTGTGTACTGCCCACGTGGTGTGCACTGCTCACGTGGTGTGCACTTCCCACGTGGTGTGTACTGCCCACGTGGTGTGTGCCTTGATGGGTTTTTTCCTCAGCACCAAAACCGCCACCTCTTTGTGGCAATGCTAAGGGAGGCCATTGAAAACGACCGTGTGGTGTTTGCTTGCTAGCTGTTGCTGCTGCTCGTCCTGACCACGTTTCCTTTCCTTCCCTTCTCTCTCCTCCTTTTCTTCAGCTCTTTGTGGCAATGCTAAGGGAGGCGATAGAAAATGACCACGTGGTGTTCGCCTTCAAGTCCTTGCTGCTGCTGCTGCTTGCTCTAAAACCCGTTTTATCTCCTGGCATCTCCTTCTTCCTCCCACTTGGACCCTCAGCTCTTTGTGGCAATGCTAAGGGAGGCGATAGACAATGACCACGTGGTGTTCGCCTTCAAGTCCTTGCTGCTGCTGCTGCTTGCTCTAAAACCCGTTTTATCTCCTGGCATCTCCTTCTTCCTCCCACTTGGACCCTCAGCTCTTTGTGGCAATGCTAAGGGAGGCGATAGACAATGACCACGTGGTGTTCGCCTTCAAGTCATTGCTGCTGCTGCTGCTTGCTCTGAAACCCGTTTTATCTCCTGGCATCTCCTTCTTCCTCCCACTTGGACCCTCAGCTCTTTGTGGCAATGCTAAGGGAGGCGATAGACAATGACCACGTGGTCTTCGCCTTCAAGTCATTGCTGCTGCTGCTGCTTGCTCTGAAACCCGTTTTATCTCCTGGCATCTCCTTCTTCCTCCCACTTGGACCCTCAGCTCTTTGTGGCAATGCTAAGGGAGGCGATAGACAATGACCACGTGGTGTTCGCCTTCAAGTCATTGCTGCTGCTGCTGCTTGCTCTGAAACCCGTTTTATCTCCTGGCATCTCCTTCTTCCTCCCACTTGGACCCTCAGCTCTTTGTGGCAATGCTAAGGGAGGCGATAGACAATGACCACGTGGTCTTCGCCTTCAAGTCATTGCTGCTGCTGCTGCTTGCTCTGAAACCCGTTTTATCTCCTGGCATCTCCTTCTTCCTCCCACTTGGACCCTCAGCTCTTTGTGGCAATGCTAAGGGAGGCGATAGACAATGACCACGTGGTGTTTGCCTTCAAGTCGCTGCTGCTGCTGCGCATCATTCTCGAGAGGGCCGGTCGCCCCGCCGTCTCCCGGTTCGTGAAGGCGGGAGGCATGTCCATCATCCTGCCACTCATGGTCAACTCGCTGGCTAAGGTGGGTAATAAACCTGATGTCCAGGCAGGGGGAAGGGAAGGGAGATGGGGCCAGGCATGCTTTGCATTGGTTCTTGAAGGTGGGAGGCATGTCCATCATCCTGCCGCTCATGGTCAACTCGCTTGCTAAGGTGAGTGGGTGGGTAGCTGCAGAAAAGAGAGAGGCACGGATGGGAGAGCGAGTGCGAGAGAGATGGGACCAGGTGTGCTGCATCAATCGTTGAAGGCGGGAGGCATGTCCATCATCCTGCCGTTCATGGTTAACTCGCTTGCTAAGGTGAGGAGAGAGGAGGATGGATGGTATGGGAGTGTGGCAGGGCCAGACGTGCATTCTCCTGGTTTGTGAAGGCGGGAGGCATGTCCATCATCCTGCCACTCATGGTCTGGCGTGTACGTGCAGGAGGGGAGGGGGAATGGGTGGGAGTGGGACAGGTACAGGTATGCGATATCTTGGTTTGTGAAGGGACATGCCCTCTTTTTCCCCCTTTCCATCCCACCCGCCCCAGTGCCGCGAGGACGAGACTTTGATTGAATGTGATGCACCGAGTGTGGACCAAGGAGCGATCGCGGTGATGCTGGTGGTGGGGGCGGACTGCGAGGTGCTTATGCCTCAACCACACTCCCTCTTCTTCTCTCCATTTCCCCACCTCCACTCTCTCCACCCATCCCAGTGCTGCAAAGGCGAAACTCTATATGAGAGTGCGATGCACCGAGTGTGAAGGACCGAGGGACGATCGAGGTGGTGCCGGTGGTGGGGGCGGATGGCAAGGTGCCGAATGCTTAAACCCCTATTTTCCCTCCGTATCCCACACTCCTTCTTTGCTCTCTTTCCCCACCCATCTCAGTGTTGCAAGGACGAGACACTATTTGAGTGTGATGCTCCAAGCGTGAAGGACCGAGGAGCGATTGAGGTGGTGCCGGTGGTGGGGGCGGACGGCGAGGTGCGGATGGCGCGCGTGCCGTCCGGGCGGCAGGCCAAGGAGGGCGGCGCAAGCACTGTTCATCACGGGGGGAGCGTGGAGGCGAGAGATGCGATCAAGTGGCAGGATGAGAGCGTGCCTGAGAAGCTGCAGCTGGGGATGGCTCTGGAGCTGTTGGAGACCGTCCTAGAGTGAGTTGCTCTTGTAGGATTCTCAGAAAGTGTGAAGGCAAGGGATGGGAATGCATAGTGTGGGAGGATGAGAGCGTGTCGGAGAAGCTGCAGCTAGGGATGGCGCTGGAACTTCTGGAGACCGTTTTGGAGTGAGTGAGATGGAGGATAGAATGTGTGAGGCATAGGTGTAATGCGTTAGGCCCATCCCTTTGACACCAGGTGGGGAGTGTGGAAGCGAGGGATGCGATCAAGTGGCAGGATGAGAGCGTGGAGCAGAAGCTGCAGCTGGGCATGGCGGTGGAGCTGCTGGAAACAGTCCTGGAGTGAGGGGGATGGGCGGTGGAGTGTGGGTCCTTAGAGAGAGTGCGATGGGCGGTGCCGGTGTTTTGGGGACTGTTAGAGGAGTGTGAGCATGGTCATCAGGTATTTGAAGCATACAGTTCGGTTGGGTAAGGTTTATGGGCACGAGGTAAGACCCACAATAATCAACATGGGTAAAAGGGTGGAATACAGGTGGGCGGCATCACTTTTGAGTCGACTCAAAATAGGTTTGTGAAGCATCCAGTTCGGTTGGGTGAGGCCTATGGGCACCAGGTAAGACCCACGGTGGTCAAGATAGGTAAAAGGGTGGAATACAGGTGGGTGGCATCACTTTTGAGTCGACTCAAAAATAGGTTTGTGAAGCATCCAGTTCGGTTGGGTGAGGCCTATGGGCACCAGGTAAGACCCACGGTGGTCAAGATAGGTAAAAGGGTGGAATACAGGTGGGCGGCATCACTTTTGAGTCGACTCAAAAATAGGTTTGTGAAGCATCCAGTTCGGTTGGGTGAGGCCTATGGGCACCAGGTAAGACCCACGGTGGTCAAGATAGGTAAAAGGGTGGAATACAAGTGGGTGGCATCACTTTTGAGTCGACTCAAAAATAGGTTTGTGAAGCATCCAGTTCGGTTGGGTGAGGCCTATGGGCACCAGGTAAGACCCACGGTGGTCAAGATAGGTAAAAGGGTGGAATACAGGTGGGTGGCATCACTTTTGAGTCGACTCAAAAATAGGTTTGTGAAGCATCCAGTTCGGTTGGGTGAGGCCTATGGGCACCAGGTAAGACCCACGGTGGTCAAGATAGGTAAAAGGGTGGAATACAGGTGGGTGGCATCACTTTTGAGTCGACTCAAAAATAGGTTTGTGAAGCATCCAGTTCGGTTGGGTGAGGCCTATGGGCACCAGGTAAGACCCACGGTGGTCAAGATAGGTAAAAGGGTGGAATACAGGTGGGTGGCATCACTTTTGAGTCGACTCAAAAATAGGTTTGTGAAGCATCCAGTTCGGTTGGGTGAGGCCTATGGGCACCAGGTAAGACCCACGGTGGTCAAGATAGGTAGAAGGGTGGAATACAGGTGGGTGGCATCACTTTTGAGTCGACTCAAAAATAAGTTTGTGAAGCATCCAGTTCGGTTGGGTAAGGTTTATGGGCATCACCAGGTAAGACCCACCGTGGTCACCACCATAGGTAAAAGGGTGGAATACAGGTGGGTGGCATCAGACTGGTTGATTATCATGACAGAATGAGTGGAGGACGTCGGTGTTCAGGTCTATTAGACACTACTATCAGTGTCCTTATCGGTGTTCAATTCATCTTCTCACTTGTCTTGCCTTTTCCTTCCCTTACCTTGTCTCCCTCCCTCATCACTCTCCCTTCCCCGCAGTGTCATTGAGGTGCCAGGAGGTTTGGAGCGGTACCCACCGCCCCTGCCTCTGGAGGACCTGGCTCGGCCGGAGCTGCTGTGCAGCCTCGTGCAGCTGCTGCTGCGGGCGAAATCCCCCACCTTCAGGAGGTGAGAGCGATGCTCACGAGCCATTCTACCTGGCCCCTGGAGAAACTAGTTCTTGAAAATTCTTATTAGTCGAAATCCCCCACCTTCACGAGGTGAGAATGACACAGGCAAACGGCTTTTCACGTAGCTCGTGTTGGAGGTTCATGCAACTCCTTTTGAGGCGCGTCAAAGGCCTTCGCTTGGAAAGTCATGCAACTTCTGCCACGGGAATTCTCGAGGTGCAGCCCATTCGGTGCCACAGCAACGAGAAGCAGGCAGCCAAGGAGCTTTTGAATGTGAATTCTGGATAAAAGATAGATCCTTTGTGTGCGACGGCAGCAAGCAGGCAGCCAAGGTGCTCTATGGCAGGAGGATTCGGGAAAACACTCATTCAAGTAATGTAGTAACGGTGGAAAGTCCTTAGCAATCATGTGCCGCGGCAACAAGCAGGCGGCCAGTGAGCTGCCTGCACGCCCTCTTGATGAGGCCAGCTCCTTCCCCTCGATCACCCTCAACTGAACGTTTTTCCCCTCGACTCTTCCTCTCACAACCAGGATTCTCGAGGTGCTCTCCATCCTGTGCCGCGGCAACAAGCAGGCGGCCAGTGAGCTGCACCGCTACGGGTGCTTCCCCATGCTGCTGTGGAAGGTGGTGGCGGGGGACATCAGCCACGACGACCGCACCCGCATCCTCAAGTTCCTCGCACGCACGCACCTCCTGCAAGTACGTCTAGGGTTTCGGGGTTATGGCTAGGGTAACTAACAGCAGGCCTAGGTGCCTCCCCCCCATGCTGCTGTGGAAGGTGGTGGCGGGGGACATCAGCCACGACGACCGCACCCGTATCCTCAAGTTCCTCGCACACACGCACTTATTGCAGGCAGGTCCAGGGGTTAGGGTTTGTGGGTTTATAGCTACGGTGAGCAAGGTTGGGTGCTTCCCCATGCTGCTGTGGAAGGTGGTGGCGGGGGACATCAGCCACGACGACCGCACCCGTATCCTCAAGTTCCTCGCACACACGCACTTATTGCAGGCAGGTCCAGGGGTTAGGGTTTGTGGGTTTATAGCTACGGTGAGCAAGGTTGGGTGCTTCCCCATGCTGCTGTGGAAGGTGGTGGCGGGGGACATCAGCCACGACGACCGCACCCGCATCCTCAAGTTCCTCGCAAGAACCCACCTCACCTCCTGCAGGTAGGCTTAGGGGTTATGTCTGGGGCCAGGTGCTAAGGTTTAGTTCGGGTTTTGGGGTTATGGCAGGTTGTTAGCTGGCACGTGAACATCTGTCTTGACTCACAATGACCAGATGCACCTGGTCCTGTCTCTCTATCCATTCCCCTCAACGTTTGATTCGTGTTTTGAGTCGACTCAAGAACAGGATACAAGAACATCTGTCATGACTGACAATGACCAGATGCGCCCATATTTCCAATCAATATGATCCTGTCTCTCTATCGATTCCCCTCAACGTTTTAATCTTAATCCCTCTCCCTTTTGCCCTCGCAGGACCCATCCGCCTTGGAGCACGCGCCAGTGAAGGGGCTGGTGGTGGTGGAGCATCTGCCGTGGCATGAGAGCATTCTCTGGCTGTACCTGCCTGCTGGCACGAGAGCAGCATCTTCAACTTTATCTTTCCTATTCTCTATGCTCCTGGTGCTCTTACCATATTCTCCCTTGCGCAGGACCCATCCGCCTTGGAGCACGCGCCGGTGAAGGGGCTGATGGTGATGGAGCATCTGCCGTGGCGTGAGAGCATTCTCAACTGGTTGGTCCTATCACTTTCCTCATGCCTCCCATTGCTCCCCATACAGGATCCATCGGCTTTAGAGCACGCGCCAGTGAAGGGGTTGGTGGTGGTGGATCATCTGCCATGGCATGAGAGCATTCTCAACTGGTTGGTCCTAACCTCTTTCCCGTGCTGTCCCTCTCTTGCTCGCCTCGCAGGACCCATCCGCCTTGGAGCACGCGCCAGTGAAGGGGCTGGTGGTGGTGGAGCATCTGCTGTGGCATGAGAGCATTCTCAACTCTGCCTGTCCTCTTCTCCATGCTCCTCCTGATTCTCTCCCTCTCCCTCCCGTTCACAGGACCCATCTGCCTTGGAGCATGCGCCAGTGAAGGGGTTGGTGGTGGTGGAGCATCTGCCATGGCATGAGAGCATTCTCAACTGGTTGGTCCTAACCTCTTTCCCGTGCTGTCCCTCTCTTGCTCGCCTCGCAGGACCCATCCGCCTTGGAGCACGCGCCAGTGAAGGGGCTGGTGGTGGTGGAGCATCTGCTGTGGCATGAGAGCATTCTCAACTCTGCCTGTCCTCTTCTCCATGCTCCTCCTGATTCTCTCCCTCTCCCTCCCGTTCACAGGACCCATCTGCCTTGGAGCATGCGCCAGTGAAGGGGCTGGTGGTGGTGGAGCATCTGCCGTGGCACGAGAGCATTCTCCGGCTCTACCTGCCTGCTGGGCTCGTCTCCAAGCTCATTCAGGAGGTGCGTTTGTGAGGCTTAGTTGCTGCTGTAGTGTGGCATGTGGTTGCAGCTGCTGTGTGGCATGTAGTTGCTGCTGTAGTGTGGCATGTGGTTGCTTGCTGCTGTGCATGGTGTGGAGCTCAAAGCATTCTCCGCCTGTACCTGCCTGCTGGGCTCGTCTCCAAGCTCATTCAAGAGGTGCGTGTAAAGTTTGCTGCTACTGTGCGGGGCCGCTCTGTTGTTTCATGTGTGTCTGAGCATGCGTGTGTGCGTGCGCGCGTGCGTGTAGAGCTCTCAAACGTGATATAACCATAGTGTTTCTTACGTGCCTCCGTCCTTCCAATACCGCTCCTTCCTCGGCCGACCAATTGCCTTATGCTTCTCCCAAACCCACCCGATTCACCCCAGAGATGCAGAGCTATTTCCACACGAAATTGTGCTTTTGAGTCAACTCAAAAGCTTCCACCTGAGATTGTGTGTGTCCTCAATGATTACCTCCGTATTCATATGCCCTGTTGTACCCGCTTTCACCTCAGGGCGCGGAGCTGTTTCTGTCCAACCTAGACACGGAGGACATAGACACACCTGAGATTGTGTGGAACGAGGACATGAAGGAGCGCCTCAGAAGCTTCCTGGAAGCGGACCTGCAGCCATACGTGCAGGCGCGGGCGGGGGACCCCCACGCAGTCTATGTGTACGAGCCCAAGCCGCCACTCGTGTACCCCGAGCTTGCAGGTGAGTGTTGAGACGTCTCACAAGTCCCCCAAGCCGTCGGTCTATGTGTACGCGAGGGCGAGGGACCCCCCCCACGCGGTGTATGTGTACGAGCCCAAGCCGCCACTCGTGTACCCTGAACTCGCAGGTGAGTGTTGAGATGAGATGAGATGAGATGAGATGAGATGAGATGAGATGAGATGAGATGAGATGAGATGAGATGAGATGAGATGAGATGAGATGAGATGAGATGAGATGAGATGAGATGCTCTAATGTTGATTCGAAATCTCTGATGGTGAACTCTGATGGCGCGGGCATGGAACCCCCACGCGGTGTATGTGTGTATGAACCCAAACTGCCACTCGTGTTCTCTGAGCTTGCGGGTGAATGGTGAGACGTCTCAGTAGTGTGTATCTACACAATGTGCTGGACGCTGAGAGGTTCCCTCGACAACAGTGCTTTCAGCACGCTGAAATAAACACGTTCCTTTGCCTCCTGTCTGTGTTTCTCTCCCCCATCCCAGGCACCATCTTCATTGCACCGGTGTATCTACACAACGTGCGGGACGCTGAGAGGTTCCCTCTACAACAGTGCTTTAAGCATGCTGAAATGAACACGTTCCTCTGCCTCCTATCTGTGTTCCTCTCTTCTCTCCCATGCCAGGCACCATCTTCGTGGCACCGGTGTATCTACACAATGTGCTGGACACTGAGAGGTTTTCTTCAGTGTTCTTTCACCACCCTTAGAGGCTCCCTTTACCATGTTTCCTCTGCCTGTCCTGTGCCTGTGTTTCTTCCTTTCATCTCTCCCCCATCCCAGGCACCATCTTCGTGGCACCAGTGTATCTACACAACGTGCGGGACGCTGGGAGGTTCCCGGCGCACCAAGTGTTTGACGCCACGTGCACTGTATATTCCTCTGCCTGTATCTTCCATCTCGCCCATGCCAGGCACCATTTTTGTGGCACCGGTGTATCTACACAACGTGTTGGATGCTGAGAGGTCCCCTGAGTGTGCTTTTACCATGTCTCCTCTGCCTGTCCTGTGCCTGTGTTTCTTCCTTTCATCTCTCTCCCATGCCAGGCACCATCTTCGTGGCACCGGTGTACTTACACAACGTGCTGGACGCTGAGAGGTTCCCAGCGCACCAAGTGTTTGACTCCACGTCCTTCCACCACAGCGTGCTCAGGGTGAGTGGAGTGCACTGCCGGCTGTGCTTGCGTTGAGTGCTGCTTGACTAGTTGAGTTCCTCCTGTGTTGACTCACAGCGTGCTCAGGGTGTGTTGAGTGGTGAGGGTGTGTTGAGTGGTGAGGGTGTGCGGAGTGGTGAGGGTGAGGGCTGGATGCGCTTGATTCTGAAGAATGATGTGACGTGTCAAATGTTGCGGGGATGTGACAGCAACTGTATTCCCCCCAATCTCCCCATCTCCCTATCTCCCCTGGCTCCGCCATTACCCCTAACCCCACGAGTACGAGCGCATTCTGGAGTCTCTGTCAGCAGGGAGCAGTGGCAGGCGCTATGACGTTTTGGCATCTATAGTTCCTCTCACCTCCCTTCATCTCCCCTGGCTCCTCCATTACCCCTAACCCCAGGAGTACGAACGAGCGCATTCTGGAGTCTTGTCAGCAGGGGCAGTGGCACTATGTGTTAGAAGTGAAGTTTTGAGACCTCTCAAAACTTGGAGGCCATGTCAGCAGGGGGCAGTGGCAGGCACTATGACGTGTTGGCAACTGTATTTCCTCTCACCTCCCCCCATCTCCCCTCTCCCCATCTTCTCTCTCACCAGGAGTACGAGCGCATTTTGCAGGCCACATCAGCAGGGGGTGGTGGTGCAGTGACGTGGCGTCAGGAGGCTCCCCGCCTCGTGCTGCTGCTCAAGGCCCAGGTGAGGCGTCAGGTGCTAGCAACAGAGACGTTAGCAGGGGGTGGTGGTGCCGTGTTGTGGCGCCAGGAGGCTCCGCGGCTCGTGCTGCTGCTCAAGGCCCAGGTTAGGCGTCAGGTGCTAGCAACAGAGACATCATGCGAGGCGTCAGGATTAGGAGATGAGGCATCAGGTGCTATGGCGTGGGGCGTCAGGTATTGGCAGTTGAGGCATCAAATGTTACCAGGTGAAATATCAGGTGTGATCGGGTGAGGCGTCAGGTGCCATGAGGTGTGGCATCGGGAGTTTTATCATCTAGAGGTACTCAGCATGCATAGAAGTCTTTTGAGACGTCTCAAAAGTAGTGTAGAGGTACTCTGCATGCATAGAAATCACGAGTGCCATCGCATCTGCTGCCTTGCAGGTCCTTTGTCAATCCGTTTCAGGCAGAGGTGCTATCAACTTCCCTGGTGATGCGCTCTATCAACTTTCCTGGTGATGGGCTCTACACTCGAATGGGCTCTACTTCATCTCTGCATGACTGCCGTTTGACTCCTTCCTTCTACTTGTCTCCATTCATTTCCTTGCTCCCCAGGCGGTGATTCTGGACCGGTACCCGCAGATTCCGCTGGGTGCAGAGGCAGAGAGAGTGGTGATCGACATGGCAACCCCCGCATTCCGCGTGTGCATCGCTCAGAAGGGTGGGTACTAACACCTTCTCCTACTCACCTCCCTCTCCCTCCCTCCAGGCCGTGATTCTGGACCGGTACCCGCAGATCCCTCTAGGTGCAGAGGCAGAGAGTGTGGTGATCGACATGGCAACGCCTGCACTGCGTGTGTGCATCGCTCAAAGGGACGACTGCCCCCCTCAGATGGCCGATATCCTGCAGCATGCTGCTAAGATCCTGAGGGGGATTGCGGCTACCAGAGACAAGTGAGTCACGGTGTTGGAAGTCAGCGTCAGCGCCTTGAGAATCTGGTTTAGGATCTGGTTTAGGGGGATTGCGGCTATCAGCGACAAGTGAGTGAGGGTGTTGTGAGTCAGCGTCAGTGCTTTGAGAGTCATTCGGTCTGGGATCTGCTCAGAAGCCAACACATTGCTCAGAGGGATAACTACCCCCTTTAGGGCTGATATCCTGCAGCATGCTGCTAAGATCCTCAGGGGAGTTGCGGCTACCAGAGACAAGTGAGTCAGGGTCTGAAGTCACTTGGTTTGGGATATGTTCAGAAACCAATTCGTTGCTCAGGGGGACGATTTCCTCCCTCACATTGCCGAATTTCTGCTGCATCCTGCTAAGATCCTCAGAGGGGTTGCCGCAACAAGAGACAAGTGAGTCAATAGTCAAGGTTCTTATTCAACTAAGCGACGCTCAGAGGGACGACTGTCCCCCTCAGATGGCTGATATCCTGCAGCATGCTGCTAAGATCCTGAGGGGGATTGCGGCTACCAGAGACAAGTGAGTCACGGTGTTGGAAGTCAGCGTCAGCGCCTTGAGAATCTGGTTTAGGATCTGGTTTAGGGGGATTGCGGCTATCAGCGACAAGTGAGTGAGGGTGTTGTGAGTCAGCGTCAGTTCTTTGAGGGTCATGTGGCCTGGGATCTGCTCAGAAGCCAACACATTGCTCAGAGGGATAACTACCCCCTTTAGGGCTGATATCCTGCAGCATGCTGCTAAGATCCTCAGGGGAGTTGCGGCTACCAGAGACAAGTGAGTCAGGGTCTGAAGTCACTTGGTTTGGGATATGTTCAGAAACCAATTCGTTGCTCAGGGGGACGATTTCCTCCCTCACATTGCCGAATTTCTGCTGCATCCTGCTAAGATCCTCAGAGGGGTTGCCGCAACAAGAGACAAGTGAGTCAATAGTCAAGGTTCTTATTCAACTAAGCGATGCTCAGAGGGACGACTTTCCCCCTCAGATGGCTGATATCCTGCAGCATGCTGCTAAGATTCGCAGAGGGATCGCATCGAATGAGAGACAATTGTATTGTGACTCAGGGGTCTTGTGATTGAAGTGAAAGGATTTTTTCAACTTGAGCATCGTTCAGAGGACGACTGCCCCTTAGATGACCGATAATCTGCAGCATGCTGTTACGTTCTTCAAGGACGTTTCACCTAGACAGAAGCGATCCAGGGCCTTAACTGAGTGTGTCTTTTAGTGCGTAACGGAACTATGTACTCAGCAACTGGTAAATCCTCCGCGTTTTTTCTCCGTGAATCCCATCCCTTCCTCCCTTACCTCCCGCCACAGGGACGCGGACGTATCTCAGCCGTCCATCAACTTCGCCCTCAGCGTGCTGTCCTGTGGCGTGCGTGTGAAGTCGGATGGAAGCTTCCCCGACTCCCCCGCCAAGTCCCCTCTCGAGCCCGCCCTCTCCTGCGCCCTCTCTATTCTCGAGCTAGCTGCTTCGTCCAAGTGAGTGCTGCCTTCTGTGCTAAGTCGACTCACGACGCACACTTGAAACACAAAGTTCATCAGATAGCCATTTCACAGACTCCCCTGCCAAGTCCCCTCTCGAGCCTGCTCTCTCCTGCCCCCTCTCCATCCTTGAGCTTGCCGCCTCCTCCAAGTGAGTCTTGCCCGTTGCTGCTTCTTCTGAGTTGGTCCTGTGTCTCACAAGGCATGTATGAACGCCCTGACTTCCCTGCCAAGTCCCCTCTCGAGCCCGCCCTCTCCTGCGCCCTCTCTATTCTCGAGCTTGCCGCCTCGTCCAAGTGAGTGCTGCCGTATGCAACTCACGATGCACATGGTCGTTTCGAGAATCTCGAAAAGTGTCCTGACTTTCAAGTCACACCCGCACATTCAACCTACAATGCACGCACACACCCACCTCAACCGCTTTGTAACCTCCCATCATCTCCCTCCCACAACTATCACAACTACAGGGATGGGCGCAAGCAGCTGAGGGATGATGTGCGATGGTGCAAGGGCTTCTCATCGTCGTAACTTTTGTAACCTCCCCATAATCCACAACCATCACCACTACAGGGAAGGACGCAAGCAGCTGAGGGGCGACGTGCGGTGGCGCAAGGGCTTCTGGTGGGCGCTCTTCTCCGCTGCAGGGGAGAGCAGCCGGGGCAGCGCGGATGGGCGTGCTGGCTCAACCCCTCCACATCCACTTCAACCCCTCTGTAACCCCGCACAACCTCTCTTGACCACAGGGAGGGGCGCAAGCAGCTGAGGGACGACGTGCGGTGGCGCAAGGGCTTCTGGTGGGCGCTGTGCTCCGCTGCGGGGGAGAGCAGCCGGGGCAGCAACTGCTGCTGTATAGTTTTCTCCCACAACCTCTTGAAACCTCCCATATCATCATCACCACCACCACCACCGCAGGGAAGGACGCAAGCAGCTGAGGGACGACGTGTTGTGGCGCAAGGGTTTCTGGTGGGCGCTCTGCTCACCGTGACCTTTGTACCCCCCCATAAACCCCCCTCAAACTTCCATGATATCTCAGTGCTATGGCTGCAGGGAAGGACGCAAGCAGCTGAGGGACGACGTGCGGTGGCGCAAGGGTTTCTGGTGGGCGCTCTGCTCACCGTGACCTTTGTACCCCCCCATAAACCCCCCTCAAACTTCCATGATATCTCACTGCTATGGCTGCAGGGAAGGACGCAAGCAGCTGAGGGACGACGTGCGGTGGCGCAAGGGTTTCTGGTGGGCGCTCTGCTCACCGTGACCTTTGTACCCCCCCATAAACCCCCCTCAAACTTCCATGATATCTCACTGCTATGGCTGCAGGGAGGGGCGCAAGCAGCTGAGGGATGACGTGCGGTGGCGCAAGGGCTTCTGGTGGGCGCTGTGCTCCGCTGCGGGGGAGAGCAGCCGGGGCAGCGCGGATGGAGTGCCGTGCTCGCTGGCGTTTGCTGCTCTTGACTGCCTCAACCACTTTGCTGGGGACCGAGACATGTGCTACCGGCTGATCAACCAGGTGAGGGTGGGGGTGAATGCATGCTTTTGGTGTCTGCCCTTTTGAGGTGTGAGGTGTCTGAAAGGCAGTGGGTGCATGCTGGCCTTTGCTGCTCTCGACTGCCTCAACCACTTCGCTGGGGACCGAGACATGTGTTACCGGCTAATCAACCAGGTGGGTATGGGTGTGGGCGTCTGTGTGTGTGCTTTTATCTATGCGTGTGCATTTGAGGTACTCCAAAAGCGGATGGCGCGCCATGCTCGCTGGCCTTTGCTGCTCTGGACTGCCTCAACCACTTCGCTGGGGACCGAGACGTGTTACCGGCTGATCAACCAGGTGGGGGTGGGTGTGTGGGGAAAGAGAATCGTTGGGGACGAAGGATTGGCTCAACCACTTCTCTGGGGACTGAGACGTGCTACCAGCTGATCAACCATGTGGGTGAAGCATGCGTGTGAGTGAGTGTATGTGTATCCGGGGTATTCGGTGTATTTGTTTGTGCGTGCGACGATACTGGTCCTCGTCATTGTTCTCTCCCTTCTGCCTCCCTCCCTTTCTTTCCCCCCTCGTCCAATAAGCAGGCCCTTCATATGCCCCTCCTGCTCCTTGTGTATTGAGTCAATATTTTAGGTGCTTAAAAAATCTCTCCCCGTCCCTCCCTCCCCTTCCTTTCCCCCCATCGCCCCACGCCCTTCTTCCAATGGCTAGGCCCTTCATCTGCCGCTGCTGCTCCTCACCATTCCATCTTTGAGGCATCTCACATAACATTCTCTCTTCTCTTCATTCTCCACCCTTTCTTTCGCCCCATCACCCCTTACCCCTCGTCCAATGGCCAGGCCCTTCATCTGCCGCTGCTGCTCCTTGCCGTGCCATCAGAGTCAACCCTCGAAGATGAGCGGCGCCGCAACGAAACAGGTAGGCAGGCCAGGGTGAACAAGTCAAGTCAAACAGGCCAGGGTGAACAAGTAAGTCAAGTCATACAGGTCAATGGCCATTGAGGCAGCTCAAAGCTTCTCGCCGTTCCATCAGAGTCAACCCTCGAAGATGAGCGGCGCCGCAACGAAACAGGTAGGCCAAGCTGTAGCGCCATACCATAGCAAGTGTGCATTGGTGGTATGTCAGGGTGAACTGGTAGGAGGTCAAGGTGAAGTGGTAATCTTGAGTCGACTCAAAACTAGGCCAAGCTATAGCGCCATAGCAAGGGTGCATTGGTATGTCAGGATGAACTGATAGGAGGTCAAGGTGAAGTGGGAGGTCAGGGTGAGTCAAGGGCGAACAGGTAAACCAAGGGATTCCCATCAGCTAAGGCATTGAGGTAAGCCGAGGCATAGAGGTGAGCCGACGCATAGAGGCGAGCACGCATAGAGGTGAGTCGAGGCATAGAGGTGAGTCGAGGTGAACAGGTGGAGTTAAGATCTTTTTTGCAGGCCAATTCAGTGCTAGACCGTGGGAGGTAATCTTTCTAGTCAAAATGCCTGAGTCCAGGCACCTGCAATGTTTCAAATCTTGAGTGCTTTAGCACATGATACGCCTTCCTGCTTCCCGCTTTGCCCAAGCAGGTCAGGAGCCCAATTTCAGGGCGAAAGCATTGCAGCAGGTGGCAGCAGAGGTGCTGCGAACGCTTGCAATCACCCTCGAGCAAGCCCTCCCGCCTGACGGGGAACCCAGCCCCCGAGGCTCCCTGCTGCACATGCAGCAGCTGGAGCAGCAGCAGCAGCAGCAGCAGCAGGGCGGGCTGCTCTCATACGTCATCCCCTGGGGGTTATTAGACGCGCTCAAGAACCCCGACGCTGGGGCGGCGAAGCTTGTTGCGTTGGTGGGAGCGGACGGCGAGATGCCGACCGCGATTTGGAATGCGGCGGTGAGGGAGGAGCTGAGGGGGAAGGTGGAGGCGCGGATTAAGCGGTTTAATTTGGTGCAGGCTGGAGGAGGGGCGGGAGGAGGAGCGGAGGAGGAAGATGAGGTGGCGTGGCTGCGTTCTTTCAGGTGAGAATGGGATTGCTTGTAATGTGTTGGTTGGGGATTTCAACAGGGCTGAGGGGGAAGGTGGAGGCGCGGATTAAGCGGTTCAACCTGGTGCAGGCAGGAGGAGGGGCGGGAGGAGGAGCGGAGGAGGAAGACGAGGTGGCTTGGCTGCGCTCTTTCAGGTGAGAATGGGGCGGTATCAAGGGGTTCCAGGCGGTATTCTTGGCGTTGATATGGTGTGGGTGTGAGGGTCAGGCGGTATTCTGGGTGGGAGATGCTGGGAACGCAGGGGTGAGGGAGGAGCTAAGGCGGAATGTGGAGGCGCGGATTAAGAGGTTTAGCCTGGCGTAGGCGGGGAGTGCGCGAGGAGGGGCGGGAGGAGGAACAGAGGAGGAGGATGACGTGGCGTGGCCCCACCCTTAAGGTGAGATTGGGGCGGTATCAGGCTGTTTTAGGCGGTAGTTTTGGGCTTTGATATGGTGTGGGGGTGACGGTTGGGGGATGCTGTGAATGCGTGAGAGAGGATGTGAGGGAGAGGGTGGGGACGCAGATTAGAAGGTCTAATTTGGCGCTGAGGGAGGAAAGGGGGAGGCTCGGGTGTAGGATCAAAGGAGGAAGATGAAGTGGCGCGGCTTCGCTCTATCGGGCGAGAATGGGATGTCTATGGTGCACGAGATGGTGCAACGACTTGAGAGTTCGAGTTAGTGGAGTGTGAATATAGGTAACTTTCGGACGAACTTGGCCAGAATGGCCTCAGAGTTTGAGTATGTTTTCTTAGGATGAAGATTGTCGATTACGCATGTGTTTATCACAACTGCGCAATATTGGGCTGTTTTAGAAATGGAACAGCCCGAAATTGCGCAGGTATGATAAATACATGCGCAATCGGCAATCTACATCGTAAGAGAACATTCTAAAACTCTGAGACTATCGCGGTCAAGTTCGTTGAGAAGTCCCCTATGCTAACTCGAACTTTAAAATTGTTGCCTCGTTTCGTGCCACTGTAGACACCAGAAAGGATCCTTCCCTGAGCCCTTTAACCTTCCACCTACTCACTCCTCTTGTGTTTGAAGAAGTGTTTTGAGAGGCACTGCTAGACACTTCTCCTCTCAAAACACTTCTTCAAACACCTTCCACCTACTCACTCCTCTTGTGTTTGAAGAAGTGTTTTGAGAGGCACTGCTAGACACTTCTCCTCTCAAAACACTTCTTCAAACACCTTCCACCTACTCACTCCTCTTGTGACAGTGGTTTTGCCCCCTCTAGCTCGAGAACCACGCTGTCCACCTTTTGTATGTGATTCTTTCTATTCCTACTTGACTTCCCCCCCATCTCCTCCTACCTCACTTCCCAAAAGTTTATCGTTTTCATGCATGCTCCCTCTTACTCTTATCTCCCTTGTCCCCATAGTCCCCCCTTATACTTCCTTTCTCTCCCTGCTGCTCCCATTCTTTTTTTCCCTCTCCTTGCTGCTCTCATGTCTATCAGGTACGAGAGCCTCAAGGATGAAATGGACATTTCGGGCATCTTCCATTCATTTCCCCCTCTTACTCTTATCTCCGTCCCCCTCTTGGTCCAATTCCTCCCTTCTTTTCTCGTCCGTCCCCCTATTATCTCTTGTTTATCAGGTATGAATGCCTCAAGGATGAAATGGTCATTTCGGGTATATTCGTCCGCGGGTACGCTGCGGGCAGCTGGGAAAACTTTGACCTGCCCGATGGCCGTGCGTTTCTCATGGCTCTTCAGGACTACCTTCGCTCCTCCCTCCCCATCATCTCCTCCCAATCCTCCTCCTCTTCTTCCAACCTCATCACTCCTCCATCTCCTAGCAGCATCGTCACCACTTCCGCAGCTGCCTTTGCCTCTCAGCCTCCCACTGTCGCTGGGTTCCTAATGGTTCTTAAAGCCCTGGCGGAATGCATTAGGTATGCGGTAGAGGATGGCAAGAGGGGCATGCTGGCTCACATAGACTATCTCCTCCTTGCGGAAATTTTGGCGGCTGCCCCGGATACGCTTCCAACTGCCCGGCGGCTGGTCGTGGGCATCGCTCAGATTGTTTCAGGTGCCCCTACGAGCCGAGAGCAGCTGCTGGGTTCTTCTTTGCTGCCTGTTTTGGCAAGGCAGCTTTGGAGATCTGTCACCATACCTGGAACAGGAGTGGAAGAGGGGGTTGTGGCACCAGAAGGGGAGGAGGATTTTGGAGCGGGGCTGAGTGAACTGGCGCTCGCGATTCTCGACGCGGTTTTGGATCTAAGCGTGGAAATGGCAGCGGTTGTAGCGGTTACCAACCATTTTAGTTCCAGCAGTCTGCTTCTCGTGCTGCTCGCGCTGTTCCTCCGGGTTCCTCTGCCCCCGTTCAAGGGCACCTCGAAAAAAGCTGCCGGGCAGGCGTGGAGCGAGGCGGAAGAGGCGGGAGTGCTGGACACGGCGCAGTTTCGGGCTGCCCAGATTCTCGGGCAGCTGCTGCTGGCGGCCTGTGGAGTGCAGGACCGGGCAAAGTTTATTGCCGGGATTGAGGAGGAGGGAGTAGGGTCAGCAACAGCGTTGGGTGACGGCACGAACGGGATTGATACCCTATCAGTGGATGACGAGGTGTTTTCCGACCCTCACGGGGACGTCCGGGACATTCACAACCTGATTTCGCTCCTGGAGCCAGGTGCGGCGCCTGCCGTACCTCTCATCTCGGTTCGGGTGCTGTACCTGCTGCTCCCGATGCGCATCCTCTCGCTCCTCATGTCCGATCCTGAGGGGGCCTGCCGAGCCATTGGTTCCCCTAGCTGCACCCCGCTGCTTGTGTGGAATGATGCATCGGCGAGAAGGGCGAGGGATGCGATCAAGAGGGAGGCTGAGGAGGTGCTGAGGAGGCACGAAGGGGAGGTGAGTGAGGGGAAGCAGCAGCTGGGGCTGCCTATGTGGGATTTAGAAGCTGGGGAGGAGATGGATGGTGGCAGTGTGGGGAGGGGCAGGGAGGAAGCAGCCGCGTTCCGACCCTTCTTCCTGCAGTACGTGCGAGAGAGCATCGAATTGGCAAAGGATGAAGGGGAGGGAGCGGCAGGAGCGGGAGAGGTGGCGGAAACGCTGTTTTCGGAGCAGGAAAAGGCGGGGTATGTTCCGGAGATGTACATCGGTGGGTGCTATGTGGACCAGTTATTGCGCCAGCCGAGATTCGATCTCGGGAAGCGAGTGGAGCTGCAACTGGTGAGGGAGATTCGGAAGGCGATAGTCACTGCTGCACCAAACGAAGGCAAGAGATACGAGGAGTTCACCACAGCGGATCGTAGAAGGTTGCTTTTGGCCCTGCTCGCGCTTTTCCAGAGCCGCCCGCACCTGCTGACCATCACCAACACGGACATTTTCCTGCCCGTGACGGACTTTTTCACGTCGGGCAGCGGCGAGGAGCGGCGCGCACTGCTGCAGGCGGGCGTGCTGCTGTTCCTGCGCATGGTTACGTCGAATGACGTGGCGGATTTCGTCTCTTCTGAGGAGCTCATTTCGCTTCTGTCAAAGCTGCTGTTGCTGGAGGTACCGGCTGGGAGGCAGGGGCAAGCTGCTACGGATCCAAGGGTGTGTGCTCTGATGCTCATGCAAAAGCTGTTCAGACTTTCCTCAAAGGCTGTTGAGTTGGGGTTGCAGCATCAGGTGGTGGATCGGCTGGCGTCGCTTGTACTCGATACAGAGAACTCCATTATTGTGCGTGCGCGCGCTGCTGCTGTGCTGGGAGCTATGGCTGGGGAGAGAAGGCTGGGGCCTGAGATTACAAGGCAGGCGGAGAGGATTTTACCGGAGAGTTATAAGAATCATATTGCTTGGAAGGTGGGGTTTTTAAAGCAAGGGGCAGAAGAGATCGGGCAGAAAAGCATGCCGGCACTTTCAGAGGAGATTGAGGTTAAAACCATGCGGCACTTACTTAAGTACCCGCTACCGTGTGCATGGTGGACAACGGATATTCCCGAGGACGGGGGGATGGAAGGAGGAGGGGATGGGGGTGGTGGGGAAGGGGAAGATGGGAACAGCGGCCCGACAGCTGTTGTGGAAGCTGCCTTGATGTTTCCTACTGCCAGGCTGGACGCATGGAACGATGAGGTGGACGGGGCTTTAAGGCATGGGTTGGCTGCTGCGGCACTCTCCAACACGCGGAACGTGAGGATTCTGAGGAAGAAGCTGGCTGGGGCGAAGGGGGTGCTGGTGGAGGTAGAACTGCAGTTCCAACCTCCCCCAGGTGCTGCCGCGAGAGCCAAGAAGGGCGAGACTGCAAGGACGTCGGTGGATGATCCAACGAAGGCCGCCCGGACGTTCAAGCAGAGGTTGGAGACTCAGCTGGGGGGTATGCTCGCCCCAGAGGTGTTTGAGTCGATGGGTAACCCGGCGGTTCGCTCCTCGACGGTTAGAAGCTGGGGCCGATGATCCGGCGGTTATGCCGTTGTTGATACATCTCGAAATTCATCATGTATCGATGGGTAACCCAGCTGCTCGCGATGGTCAGAAGCTGGGGCCGATGATCCGGCGGTGGTGATTACGTTATCAGTACACTTTACAAGAAGGTTTCATATGGGTTTACCAAAGGTTGGAGACGTAAATGGGAGAGTATGTAAGTGTTAACGGCGCTTTTTTCCATGCTATTGTGTGACTCTGAAGATAACAACTGGTTGATTCGGGAGAGAACTTCGGTGATAAATGTTCCCGTAGGAAACAATTATAACGTGCATGGGTTACATTAGATTGGAATGTGTGATTGCAGTTCCTGGTCCCTGTTACTACAATGTGCTGGCTGGTGGTCTGAGAAGGCTAATCGCAAAAAGGTAGAGCCCACAATTGCCATGAATGTAATGTCCCTTCCATCCAAACTTGATTAACTGCTTTGTTCAATATTTTTTTTCTAACAAGCCCTTACGTGATAATAGAGTCTAATGCTGTTTAGAGTTGTTTCGCGGAACTTCAATCAGGGATACGCGGCGAAACAAGGACATCCTTCTGCTCTTCGCTCATTGGTTGACCCAGTGTCTTTGAGATCTTCTGGTCTCAAAACGTAATCATGACGTGTCACTGACAATGAGGGCGTTTCGGGAAAAACCTTCAAAAGCGGTAAAAAACGTTTGAGTACGATCCAAAACGGTATATTTAAGAAATAGTGTAGTTGGATAGGGTATAGTCTTGAGTACGTACTTTTCGGACCCGCCCTAATTGACAACACAGTCATCTTACCACAACATTGATTGGACAAAACCGAATTCAGGCGAAATCCTAAGACGCATCGGCAGCGCTGGCCACATTAGTAGTCACGGAGTTCTTTCTTCCATAAAGTAGCGAATACGCAGGCGAGTACTGACGAAATTCGTAACACAAATGGCGGCAGCCGCTTCAGCTTCGATTTCGTTGACCTCGAGCGCCGGAATCGGCGCATCGCAGGCTTTTAGAGCCTTAGCCCCCGCCAGCAATTTCTCCAGTACTAGCACATTCAGTACTAGCTCGTCCTGCCTCGTATCGCTCGTTCGGTCAGACCCGTTAAATTCCTTCTGCCGCGTAGCGGTTCGACCAGCGGGTCTGCGATTAAGCCATCGTCAAGCGGTGCCGAATGGTCGTCTGCGGCGAGCAGATGTTGGGGTTCGAGCGGCGGCCGATGCAAATGCGAGTGCGACCGCGACGGACTCGCGGGCTTCTGAGCTGGTCGATAAACTGCTCTCCATGGTTAGATTTTTTTTTTTTTTTTCGGTTCGTCTTCTTTGGTAGTAAGCCGTAAAAAAGGGTGTTGAAGGTATTTGAGAAACCATGCTGCGCGTTGTCTACCCAAGGGTTGAGGACGCGGTTAGAGGGGTGGCAATGAGCGAAGAGAGAAGGGAGGCAGGGCAGGGCAGTGTAGGGTAGGAAGGGAAGCGAAGGGGAGGGAAAAGGCAGGGCGAGTCAGGGCAGGGAGATAAGGATGCATGATGTACTGTTTCCCCCCTGCAGGTAAAAAAGTCGTGTTTTGAGTCGACTCAAAACACGACTCTTCCCCCCCTGCAGGTGAAGGTCACGGACAGAGGGGCGGCGACCGGGCAGGGCATGGCAGGGTAGGGCAGGGCGGAGCAGGGCAGGGCAGGGTGGGGCAGGGTGGGGCAGGGTGGGGCAGGGTGGGGCAGGGTGGGGCAGGGCAGGGCAGGGCGATAAGACTTCAGTTTGTACTTCCTTCCCCCCCTGGGCAGGTGAAGGACACGGACAGAGGGGGCGGTGGGCGACGAGGGCCGGGCGGCAGTGACAGGGCAGGGCAGCGTACAGGGTAGGGAGATTTGACTTGGTGCTTTATCTCCCCCTGGGCAGGTGAAGGACTCGGACAGAGGGGCCGCGATGGCCGACGAGGGCCGGGCGGCAGTGACAGCGATCGTGGAGCAGCTAGAGGCAATGGGGCTGGAAGAGCCGCTCAAGAGCCCGCTGGTGTTTGGAGGTACGCCGGCACTATTAGCAAGGGTCTGTGGGGGAACCGGTGAAAAAGCTATGAGAGTGGAGCAGCTAGAGGCCATGGGGCTGGAGGAGCCGCTCAAGAGCCCGCTGGTGTTTGGAGGTGCGTACGAGAGGGAATGAGGGAATGAGTCGTTCCGCGAATGGCTGTGCGGGCAGCAATGGAACGGCAGTGACGGCGATTGTGGAGCAGCTAGAAGCCATGGGGCTGGAGGAGCCGCTCAAGAGCCCGCTGGTGTTTGGATGTACGCCGGAGCTTAGAACAAGGGGCTGTAGCAATCGTAGGAAGTGTAGGGATTGTAGGGGAATGAGTGAAGAGGGCATGGTAGTGGAGCAGCTGGAGATGTGGGGCTGGAGTAGCCGTTTCCGAGTCTCCCTAGTGTTTGGAGGTGCGTGCTCGGGGGACAGTACTGATTGCACGGGCTGTACGAGTAGTAGGAACTGTAGAGGAACAGTACTGGCTGAAAAAGGCTGCTTATTCTAGCTGCGTAACCTAGCTGCTTGTGTGATATTTCTTCTCATGAGAATAAATTAAGTCGTGAGGCGCCTCAGAAATAGACTTAGCTTGGGAGTGCTTACGCTGATTCCATCATGCCCGTTCTATCAGGTGCCCCCCCAACCCCTGGGAGACGTCTCAAAACATTCCATCATGCCCGTTCTATCAAGTGCTGCCCCCATCCTTGCGTGAATCTACGATACGTGACTGTACGTACGTGTGCATGCGTGCGTGCTTCTGTGTGTGCTTGTACATGTGTGCACATGCCAGCATGGGAGGTGGCGTACACATCGCGCCCCACAGCAGCAGGGGCTACTACCGCAGCATGCTGGGGCGATCGAACCACCATCCAGAGACTCATTAACCTACCCACCACCCCTTACTCTCCCTGTGTCTGTCTTTCTTCACACCAGCATGGGAGGTGGCGTACACGTCGCGCCCCACAGCAGCAGGCGGGTACTACCGCAGCATGCTGGGGCGCACGCTGCTGCGATCCAAGGACCTGGTGCAGACCATCTACCCTCCCAACGGGGTCGATAACTTGGTGGAGTTTGATGCGCTCTCGCTCATCCCGGGGAGCATTAGCCTCAAAGGTGAGAGGGGAGTGGAGAAGAGAAGAAAAAAAGGGGTGTTGCGGTGGTGGCGGGGAGGAGGGAAAGGGAAAGGGGAAGGGGTTGAGCATTGGCTGCACGCTACTGCGCTTCAAGCACCTGTTGTAGACTCCAAGCATTATGCACCATGAAGCATGGACCACGCGCCATGGACCATGCACCACGCACCATGCACCACGCACGACGCGCCATGCACCATGCGCCATACACCATGCACGAAGCTTTCCTTTTGCACAAAGCTCTTTCCAAGGCGCCTTAACAATCAAAACTTTCCTCTCGCACAAAAATCCCCTTCCCCATCTTTGCCTCCTTTCTCCACTATGGCCGCCTTCCTCCTCCCGCACCTCTCAAGCCTCAGCTCCTCCTGTCCCACCTCCCACGAGGCACATTTGATCCGCTGGGTAACAAGTGGGCGCAGGCAGTTATTGAAGCACCCAGCCTCATTCTTACCGCTTTTATGCGCCCCACCATTTCCTCCCACCAGGCACATCTGAGCCGCTGGACAGCAAGTGGGTACAGGCAGTGTTCGAGGCACCCAACCTTGCTCTCATCCGTTCAAATTCTCGTGCGGAGGCCGTACGGAGGCCAGTCGTCCGTGCGCCTTTCCATGTCTTACTCTGATGATGCTCCCTCCAAGCCTCCGCCCTCCTCGTTTTCCCTTTGACAAACCTCCACCTTATCCCACCTTCCCGTTCTCCCCCTTCCTCCTTCCCCACTACTTTCTCCCACCAGGCACATTTGAGCCGCTGGACAACAAGTGGGTGAGGGCGGTGTTTGAAGCACCCAACCTCGCTCTCGGCCCACTCAAGTTCTCCTACGGAGGGCAGTCGTCCGTGCGCCTGTCTGTATCCTACCTTGATGAGCGCGTGCGCATCGGCCGAGGATCCCAAGGCTCCGTCTTTGTGTTTGCTCGCCGCACATAAGTCCGACTCCTCGCGCTGTGTCACTTTTGAGAACCGTCAAGTTTGACACGAGTGTACCTCGATGAGCGCATGCGCATTGGCCGAGGTTCCCAAGGCTCCATCTTCGTGTTCGCACGCCGCACGTAACTTGGTTTCAGCCTACATCTTAGAATTATGTGTGTTGCATAAACATACCGTTCACGTGTGTTTCGTGGGATCCGAGTAACGCTCAGCCTCGATCTCACAGCGAGAGCAGGAACCATCTTTGTGTTTGTGAGGCGCCTAAAATATTCATCTTTGTGTTTGCACGGAGCACATAACTTGCGCAAGCTCCGTCTTCTTACGTACGAGCATGGCATAATTGGTTCCCTTCGCATGCTTTTGAGGCATCTGACTCTTAAGATACCCTTGCACATACATGCGTATGGGCTTGTAGGAATTGAAGTCTGTCAAAATTATATCTATGATATCTAGGCTATGGTGGGGCATGCACTAGTATGGGGTTCAGCAGTTTAGGGTTTCCTATTTTGAATCTCCTTGCTGCCTAGTTCACATCCATTCCGCTGTTTACACTTCACGAAGACAACCTTGACGAAGCAGGCGAAGCCTATGGGCTCCATGCCCTGTTTTTGGTTTCTGGTGTCCATTTCCTAATCTTCCAGATTCCCAAGGCTGGAGTCTCGCACCCTCTGACACAAATGATTTCCAGCAAGGATTAGGATGCAGGGCCCTGACTCGTCCTCGTCAGCCATTTGCTGCGGCTCACTGTCAAGGATTTTAACTGATGTCAGGAAGCTGTTCAGGCATGCCGTCCCTTCTCGTCCGAAAAGACAAGCGGACCGTTTCTAGATAGAGGAAGGCAAAGGCGGTGGGTTCAAGCCATAGGTTTCTCCCTCTCTCACACTCCTAGTGTGGCTGATACCTTTTCTTGAAACCTCCGCTTGGCTCCTAAAATCAGATCCACGGCAACGTGACGTCATCTGCTGGAAAATTCCCCACTGCACTTGCCCCACCGCATGCGTGAAACTCTTCCCCTCGAGAACCGCTTTTGGGTGCGGCAATCTCGTGGTGGTGATCCCGCAATACTGAATTTTGTGAAAAGGGTTGCGGATCGGGAAGCAGGTGAGGGTTTGAACTGCCCAGGGTACCTGCCTAGCCGTGGCATGGCAACATCCAACGCGCTGAAGCAGCTTTACTGTAGACATTTTTTCTCGAGTTGAGTCGCGGATTTCGAACCCATACCCCATTGGCTGGCTGTTGTCTGTCACACGCGCAAAGCAGGGAGAAACGAGCGAGGATATGAGGGGTGGCGAAGCGAAGCAAAGGAAGCGGAACAAGAAGGAGAGGGAGTTTAGGGAGGGAGAGGGTGGCACGCCAATGGCTAGAAACGAAAACTGCCGAGCCAACTCTCGCCAACGGCTGGGAGTTGCCGAGCCGAGCAGTTCAGACCACTCGCGTCATATCCCAGGGATCTCATCCCCTTTCATGCGGCTGCGGATCTTACCTTAGAGCTTTTCCTCGAGAATCCCGCCAGATCACTCGTTCTCGCGAGTTGTCCTGACCCAGATCCACGTGCGAACGCCAGGAATTCTGACGCAGCCTATTCTTCAAGCCGTCTTTTCTTGGGTACCCCCCACCATTCACGGCGAGCGATACCCTACCCGAAACATCTCAGGGATGGGCCCCTAGCAGCCGACCATGTTCATAGCGTGTAGTAACGCGGACGGTTTCTCAAAGCGCGAGCCCGGCTCGGGCCGGAACGCCTGCCAAAGCGACAGCCCCGAGGTTCCCGTGTTCTGTTTCCACGTTCAGAGGCAAGTATGCGGAATTCTGTTTCCATTGTTCCTACTTCACGGCTCCCCTCGAGTCCCTTTTCCCTGTAGCTAACGTCTTAGTCCTAACAGAACCGCCTTCGAGTCGCTGTTGCGAAGTTGCTGAAATTCCTGTATCTGTAAACACGCGTGGGTGGAAGGTAGTGGCGATCCTGTTTGACCTGAGCATAAACGATGAGAAATACTAACATGAGGTTCAGTCCGGGATCCGGGAAGACAGCTAGAGTGAGGAGCACTTTAGTTCGTCCCACTATTAGCTGTGCTGACTCTAACGGGAGGAGCCGGCAGCGTACGAGTGGAGCACTTTGGAAACCGGAGGTACGCTCATTGTACACATGATGCCCGACCAGTGCACGCGAATTTGCCATGCACCGGATGGACACGCTGCCCCCGAGGTCGAAACCCCTGCTTGCTGCACCCCATGTACAGGCACATGGATGGCTAACTACAGTGCACGCGGCCCGGCCTCCCCCCCACGTGCAGACCACAACAAGCAGTGCCGACCCATGTTTTCCTTGTTTCTAGGCCGGGAGTCAATCGGACGAAACGACTGGACGAAATGAAAGTGGTTTCGTAAATGCATTCGCCCACCTGCCCCGCCACCTAGGCGAGGATCAAGGTGCGTGTAACAGACATCTGGGCTGGTGCACGCTGCCACGTGTATTCCTCATTTGTGGGGTACAAGCCCATTAACAACCAGGCGTTGTTCGCCTACCCCACGTCAGATCATAACTCAGGTGGTAACTCAGACCACATATTCGAAATTGTAAGCAGGGTGCATGCAACGAACAACCACCACACGAATCAAACCCAGCCACACTGAACGGGCCCCAGCGCTGCTCAACCTCGTCCTCAAACCAAAGTTAAAAACTGATGCGCAAATTCACTCAAGCATCGTTCTCTCCCGCCACAGCCTCCCACCATGCCGCGGTTTAATCGCCGTGAGCAGCTCCCGCTGCACATCAAGCGCGCATTATGCGCGCATCACGTCGAGCACCCCCTCCTGCGTCACGTAGATCTCGCCCGCTGGGTTTACGCCCAGTATGGCCTGCGACCTGACCGCTCCACGGTCGGCCGCATCCTGAAGAATGCCGAGCGTTGGGCTCTGGTCGAACCCACTGCCGCTAATCAAGTGCGCTGTCGAGGTGGCGCATGGCCTGAGCTTGAGCAGGCCATGGCGCGCTGGATCGCCAACGCTGGCCCCGCGGGCGTACCACTCACTCTGCAGACGATCCGCGACCACGTGGCGACCATGGCGCGCAACATGGGCATTCCGCCCGTGTTCCGTTGCTCCATTGGCTGGGTTCGCCGTGCGTTGCGGCGCCAGGGAGTGCGATGCCGTGCCGCCACCGGCGAGGCGGCGAGCGCCGACATGGCTGCTGTGCGTGAAGCGCGTGAGAAGGTGCCGCAACTTCTTACTCACCTCGGCTACAAGCCGCGCGACACCTTCAATCTTGACGAGACCGCGCTGTGGCTCTCTGTGCTGCCTCGGAAAACATACAGCAACGCGCGGCTTCCCGGACGCAAGGTCTCAAAGGACCGGCTTACCGTGGCGTTTCTCGTTAACGCCGACGGGAGCCATGTTTTCCGGCCGTTAGTCATCAGCAAGGCGCGCCGTCCGCATGACTTCCGGCCGGACTACGACCCCGAAGCCGTTTGCTACTGGCGGCACAACGCAAAGGGCTGGATGACCAGCCCGGTAAGTGTTTGCCGACCGTGTGCTTTTGCTCGTGTTTGTGTTCTTATGACATTGAGTTAACATTGTTGTGTAAGTGTTGTTATAACCATGTTAAAACATTGTTTATTCCCACCGCCCTCTCCCACCCTCCCTCCCAATCCCCTCCAACAGTTGTTCACGCATTTCATATCGCAGCTCAATGCCGCGATGTATGCCGAAGGGCGGCACATCGCGGTGCTGCTCGACAATGCAAGCTCCCACATGCTGCGGGACGAGTGCGCGTGGAGCGAAATCGTCTGCGGCATGAGGACCACCTGCCTCAGCAACGTGCGCCTCATCTTCCTGCCGCCAAACACAACCGCCTTCACGCAGCCCCTCGACCAGGGCATAATCGCGACCGCGAAGGCCCGCTACCGCCAGCACTGGCTGCGGGCCTTCACGGCACTGTGGAACGACGACGGCGCCACAAGCGCCGTCGCCCGCTGGCGCCCCAATCTACGCGACGTGCTGGGGTGGCTCTCCGACGCCTGGATGAGTGTCGGCGCGCGCACCATCCAGAGGTGCTGGTGGCGCACGGGCTGCCTGCCTCTGTCGTGGTCCATGGAGCTGACGCATGTGCATGATGATGAGCCGACCCCCCATGCTTACCCCGACATTGAGCTCGACGACGACATCGACGACGTCGGCGAGCTCATAAGCGGGCTCGGCCTCGGCACCGGCGCAATGACCGCCGCCGAGTACGTCGCCATCGATGAGGGCGAGCCGACATGCGCGGAGCCGGGGGCGGACCCGACTCCTGATGATGCGGACGTGGGCCTGATCGCGGAGCTATGGAGGGCGCCGACCACGATGGAGGCGGTCTATGACGACTCGGACCCCGTGGGCCGTGAAGCGCGGCGCACAGCACGGGCGGCCTGCGAGATGCTCATCGGCTATGCTCGCGCCGTGAGCGTGACCCCGCGCGGCCTTTGCCACCTCTTCGACATTCGTAACCCCATCATCATCGAGCGCATGGAGCGGGCAAGCCCCGCGCTCAATCTCAACACGGCCCCGCCGCCAAGGCTTTCGCCTTTCGCAACTCCGCCGCCTGACACCCCGCGTCCGCGGGGCCGAGTGCTGCCTGGCTGGATGACCCAGCCGTCCCGCCGTCAGCAGCTTCTGGACGGCGGGGTTGGCGCCGCGATGGGCGGGTACGTGGAGGCGGCTGAGTGGATGCACGTGTGAGTTGGGTTTGTGGACTCGTGAGCAGGAGTCGAAGGTTGGGATGGTGGAGTTTTTGAAGATTTGTGAAGTGTTGGGATTGTGCACATAACGGACACATTTGCAGTAGAGGGGATGTTGTTGAGCTCGGGGGTGAATGGCCATGTGGTAGAATGTGATTGGCCCGGCTTTGGGTGTCAGCTTGGTTTCAATCTAAGTTGAACAAGTGTTGATGTTGCTTTCTGGGTTTGTTTTGCTTTCGTAAGGTTTTCGGTAACACGCACATGTGACAATAGGTGCCACCCGACACTGTTACATATCGGACAAAGTGCCTGGTAACCATGTGCGCGTTATGTGCACGCGCAAAGCCTGACGAAACGCTCGACGAACCGACGAAATGACGTTTTAGCTTACAGTCCCCCTTCACAAGGCAACCGGGAGGGGCTCTAACGAGCATTAGGTGTACAGCACTTGCATATTTCCACAGCAAAACGACCCAATTATTCTTCAACACCCTGATTTTTGAACGTGCTAGTTTCCTTTCCAGACAGAATCTGTGGTGGTGATTGTGTATGATGATTGTTGTGGCTCGGATGTGTGTGCAGGAAGACAGGATTTTACTGGCCCACGTGGCAAAGCATGGGACAAAGAAGTGGAGGCTTCTCAAGTCCGTGGGTCTGCTACCCACACGAGACCACAAGGCGTGCTGTAACGGCCATTTTCAGGTGCATGCAGCTTAGTCGAGGCGCGTTATTCAGGTGCATGCCAGGTTGCTTACACTTTTCTCAGGTTAAAAAATGTCTCTCGTAAATTAACACGCAGTTCAAGATTCGATTAAAATTGGCACAAAAGGTCTGAAATAGATGCAATTTCGGGCTACGCAAATTGGAATCGGAATGGTTGGCTCTCGATGCTGCATTTTCTGACGTAACTCAGTGCAATGATTGCATTTTGTCCAATTTATACGCAAATTTCTGCTTTGCACCAACTCATTTCGAACGAATCTAATGCTAGATCTGTTGTACTTTTGACGCAGATGACGGACGCTGCGCATGGCAAATCAGCAAACCCTTCGTGAGTGTTTGTATATTTTGCCTCTACCAAACTAAGTTTGCCGTACGTGCATATTGAAATAGGTGGTATTCAACGGCCTTAATTACGTGGCATTAAATATACATGTAACATACGATATATCCTTAATAGCGGTAGGGGTAACTCACTCTTAACACTCGGGCATATTTATCGTGTTTCGGACTACCCTTTTCAAGCAATGCACGTCCCACTAGAGTTTGCTGATTTGACCCGCGAAGCGTCCGCCACCTGCGCCAACAGTACAAACGATTTAGCATTACAATCCGTTCAAAAAGATTTGGTGCGAAGCAAAAAATTGCGTAGAAACTGGGCAGAAATGCAATCATTGCACTGAGTTACGTCAGAAAATGCAGCATCGAAAGCCAATCATCCCGATTCCGATTTGCGTATTCCGAAATTCCATCTATTTCAGACCTTTTGTGTCAATTTTTATCGAATCTTGAACTGCGTATTCATTTACGGGAGAAATTGTTTAACCTGAGAAAAGTGTACGCAACCTGGCATGCACCTGAATAACGCGTCTCGACTAAGCTGCATGCACCTGAAAATGGCCGCTCTTCCAAGCTATAATACCTTGAAGTTGAAGTTGAAAGTTGGCCCACGGCTTTAAGTACTAAGAACAACCGAATGACACACAATGGTTCACCCAATTTCCCGTCCGGATGTCCCACACGTCAACACAATTCTAGTGTTTGTCGCGGCCATTTTCAGGTGCATGCAACATAGCCTAGAAACGCTATTCAGGTGCATGCCAGGTTGCGTACACTTTTCTCAGGTTAAACAATTTCTCCTGTAAATTCATATGGTTTTGAAAGTTCGATTCAAATTGGCACTAAAGGTCTGAAATAGATTCAATTTCGGGCTACGTAAATCGGAATCGGAATGGTTGGCTCTCGATGCTGCATTTTCTGACGTCACTTAGTGCAATGATTGCATTTCTGCCCAGTTTCTACGCAATTTTTTGCTTCGCACCAAATCTTTTTGAACGGATTGTAATGCTAAATCGTTTGTACTGTTGGCGCAGGTGGCGGACGCTTCGCGGGTCAAATCAGCAAACCCTAATGGGACGTGCATTACTTGGAAAGGGTAATCCGAAACACGATAAACATGCCCGAGTGTTAAAGGGAGTTACCCCTACAGCTATTAAGGATATATCGTACGTTACTTGTATATTTCAAGACACGTAATTAACGCCATGGCATACCACCCATTTCAATATACATGTTAGGAAAAAAACATTAATTTTGGTAGTGGCAAATTTTACAAACACTCACGAATTGTTTGTGTCGAGAGAATTAAGCAAAAAGGAGAGGAGTGAACTAGCAAGAATGGGGATACAAATAGCAAACCCTAGAAGGGTTGTACTCGCTACAGAGCACCCCACTACAGGCTAGAGCATAATATTCTGACACACCCCCATAGCCAAAGTGAGGTGTAATCAGCAGAGGAAACAAAGCAGTACAAGCTCAGGGTGGATCACGATGTCACCACACATTCTGAGCACAAGCAAGAAGTAATAGTTTATAAGTTATGAGCAAAGCTAGAGGCGGTCACAGAGGACAAATGAGGAGGAGGAGGGCTGGCGAGAGGAGAAAGGAGTGGAGGCGACGACTGAAGCTGCAGACACACGGGCATCAGACGGCTCTGGCGCAACGCTAGTGGCTACCGGAAGCAGAGCCCCGGACTACAGGGGTAATAGTCGCTGCGGAGGGTGCAGCGGACCCACGGGCGACAGGTGCAGCCGGCTCTCTGAGCTACCGGAGGTCCGCGGAACCCCGGAATACAGGTGCTGCGGACGACACGACGGCAGTCTCCGCTCAACCTCCCCCAACAGTCCCACACCCCTCGACACACACCCCTTGCTTCACCCCTAGCTCCACTCCCACGGTACCCCCCCTTAAACCCCAAACCCTAGACTCCCACACACCACCCCCCTCAGCGGCAGCTGCAGTAGAGGGAGACTAGGGAGGAGGAGGAGTAGGTAGAGTAACGCACAACCGACACCCCCACAGCCGCCACCCCCACACTCCCCACCCCCAAACCCTAAAACGGGCGAAAGGGAGAAGGAGCGCGGGGGACGGCGAGGGGGAAGGCGCGCGACCCCCAGGGCGCCACCTCTGGGCAGCGGGGGCCGCGCGCGGCTCCCCAGGGCGCCTCGACGGGGCAGCGGGGGGCCGCGCGCGGCTCCCTAAGGCGTCGCGACGAGGCAGCGGGGGCCGCGCGTAGCTCCCCACGGCGTCGCGACGAGGTAGCGGGGGGCCGCGCGCGGCTCCCCAAGGTGTCGCGACGAGACGTCGGGGGCGACGCGCGGGGCTGCGGGGCGACGCGGGGGGTCGACGGCGACGGGGGGAGGGCGCTTCGACGGTGGGAAACCGCCGCGCGCCTCGGGGCGCACGGCGGGCAGAAAACCGCCGCGCGCCCCGAGCGCACGGCGGGATGAAAACCGCCGAAACCCTAGAAAAAAAGTCGTCGCGCGAACAGTAGAACAGCAGCGGAAGCATTTGGTGGTGGGCCCACCCACAGGATCGACCCAACAGGATCGTCCTGCTCTGATACCATGTCGAGAGAATTAGGCAAAAGAGAGGACTGAACTAGCAAGAATGGGGATACAAATAGCAAACCCTAGAAGGGTTGTACTCGCTACAGAGCACCCCACTACAGGCTAGAGCATAATATTCTGACAGTTTGCTGATTTGCCATGCGCAGCGTCCGTCATCTGCGTCAAAAGTACAACAGATCTAGCATTAGATTCGTTCAAAACGAGTTGGTGCGAAGCAGAAATTTGCGTAAAAAATGGACAAAATGCAATCATTGCACTAAGTGACGTCAGAAAATGCAGCATCGAGAGCCAACCATTCCGATTCCGTTTTACGTAGCCCGAAATTGAATCTATTTCAGACCTTTAGTGCCAATTTGAATCGAACTTTCAAAACCATGTGAATTTACAGGAGAAATTGTTTAACCTGATAAAAGTGTACGCAACCTGGCATGCACCTGAATAGCGTTTCTAGGCTATGTTGCATGCACCTGAAAATGGCCGGTGCTGTAACCGCTTCATCGTTCTTACAAGGTACTATTGACACACGTTTCTAGTGCATTGTCGACTCAATTGCCGTACTGAGATGACTCAAGGTACTGATGACGCAGGGTCCCATTGCAATTTCAGTGCATTGAGAGGCAACCGTACCACAGTCAGTTCCGCTGGATCATCATGGCATGGGATCTCCGTCTTATAGTTTCACACGCCCAGGTTACTTTTCTGTGCCAGTGCATGCAGACATCAGAAAGACGTAGAAGGCGTTTTGGATCGTAAACGCCTTCTTGTGCGTGGTTTGTGTTGTGCGAACCGTGATTGACCCCGAGGGCAATAAACCACCCAGGGTATTGCCCTTTGTGTATGGAAAACGGAGGGGTGTCCGAACCAACATATACGCCCGATTGTTCAGCTACAGTGTCGGAGCGTACGCTGGGGTTGATTGGGGTTATGTGGTAGTTTACTATAGAAAGCGAGTGGGGAAGGTTGAGTGGTAAACGACCGGAAGGGCCAACCGCGATCCACACCACCCCCAATTTCTGGCCCGATGGTGGTAGTAAACAGCTGCAGACGACCGATTACGATCGTCGAAGTGCTGGCACCCGAAAATCGCTGGGAGCGAGTGTTACCACCTGTAACTGTTACAACAATACACTTCTCCATCGAGTATTCTAAAATGCAATCAATTATAATTCAAAATAGTTGGATTATGTTCGTAACCTGGTAACACGACTTGTAACTGAACGAAAAAAATCCGGTAACCAGATGACCAGCGTGAGGTTACGACAAGCATTATACAAAAATAACAGTAAAAACTAGTATTGAGATGGTTGCAAAACTCTCGATTAAATTAGAAAACTATAATAATTAGACACTACAAACTGATGGTCACATTAGCACTACAAAAACTAATCTAATGCATACAAGATACCACTACAGAAACACGCGCTCCCACCCCTCAATGAGAATACGCACAGACCCAGAACCAAGCACCAACCCCTTGGGCTCATCGCGCTGCAAGATCGTGGGGTTGTTCCGCATCGCATTATGAAGCGCCGCCACGACCACGTTAGTCTTGGCGCGGACGTAGTTGCTGTTGGTCGAGCCTACCCCACCCAGGGAAGGCTGTCCCCTCCCTGGCCTGAAGCTTTGCAGGGGGGCTTCTACCTGCACATATGACTGGGGAAATCGTTAGCTTGTGATTGGGACAGGTGTGACAAACAGAAAACAACAAACTTACCACGACGCACAGGTACGCTAGCATAGGGATCTTCAGCAGCACCAGATTGGAGGTAACAGTGGAAAACGCAGCAAGGGCTGCCTTCTCAAAAGCGATGTTGGCGAAGGGAACACCTTCGCCATTGACATGCCATGAATATCCAAGTACAGCTGCACATAACAGAACATAAAGATTTGTCAGTTTCGTTTAGGATAAAGACGAGAAAACAATAAATCCGAGCTTCTTACCATGCCTGAAGTCTTCCAGCCACTTTGCGTACGAGCGTTTCTTCGACGGGATGATCAACTCCACCGCTAGCAATGGCCACTTGCTCTCATCCAACAGCCCACCCGCACCCCATGCATAGAATCGAATTTTCTTGTGCGTGTTGCTGCGTTTTGTTTTGATTACCTTCATCGCCAGCTTCTCGAAATCGATTATGCTGCCAGTCGCGTAGAAATACTCGTCGCGGTTCACTCCACACAGTCGGTACTTCGTGATGAGCTGAGGTTGGAAGACTTCCCATGTTGGGAAGAACTCCATGCACTCCACTGGCGCGTCTGTTATCAGCCACGTGAACGTCTCGAGAGCCTTTACCTGCAATCGGGATGAAACGGGTAAACAGCAGAACATATTATAATACAAGCACACATAAACACTGAACACACGGACGGTCAAACGAGAATGCTCCAATCCAAGAAACGAAACTTACCGCAAACTCCTTCTTTTCAAGACTCGTCTTCAAAATCACGTTACCCTCCTTGTCCCTTGTGAGATTTGCCGGGTTAACCTCGGGGTCGGCTAAAGACATCTCCGTCACCCCGCCCGCCTGTTGCGCCTCAAGCTCACCCAGTCGGGAACGCAGGATTTCGCACTCAGCTTCGGCGGCGGCAAGCTTCTGCTGCGCTTCGGCATGCGAAATCTGCAGGATGTCAATAGTTGCTTTAAGATCTTCAACCTGCGCCTGCAGTCCGCGATTCTGTCTGACCAAGTACGCATTGATACCTGCAAATAGGAACCAACGACAAGTTCAGTATGAAACAACAATCAAATAAAAACTTGGAAATATAAAACAGGTCAAATGTTCCAAGAATACACTCACCTTCCGAGCGTGTTCCGCGGACGGCATCGTTTTGTTCGACAACCAGCTGTTGCTGCTGCTGAGCAAGCTGCTGTTGCTGCTGTTCGGCACCAGCTTCGCCCTCGGAATCCTCCTCGTCATCCTCTTCCTGCTCCTCGTCCTGCTCCTCGTCCAGCCCCTCGTCCTGCTCCTCGTCCAGCCCCTCGTCCAGCTCCTTGTCAAAGGCGGAGCGGTTATCCGTCGAGAAATCCTCAGCCAGCGCGCCTGTGGTTGCGTCAGCGAGGAACTCAAGGTTGTGCTGCTGCTGTTGCTGGGTAGTAGCAACAGGCTGCTGCTGCTGCTGGGAAGCAACAGGCTGATGATGCTGCTGGGAAGCAACAGGCTGCTGCTGCTGCTGGGAAGCAACAGGCTGCTGCTGCTGCTGGGAAGCGACCAGCTGCTGCTTCTGCTGGGAAGCGACCGGCTGCTGCTGCTGCTGAGGAGCGAACGGCTGCTGCTGCTGCTGCTGGGTAGTTGTAAAAGGCTGCTGCTGGCGAGTCGCGGGAAGAGGACGGTTCGGGAGAGAGCTCGCGAGAAGCTGCTGCTGAGAACCCGCGGGCAGAGCCGTCCGGCTCGTGAAAAGCTTCTGCGAGGGACTCGCGGGCGGAGGGTTCCGGTTCGTAACGGTCTGCTGCTGCTGCTGGGAACTTGCTGGCAGAGGGAGGTCCGGGAGATCCTCTGTGACAAGCTCCTCCTCGGTAGACGCGGGAGCAGGTAAGTCAGCTTGAATGCCTGTAGTAGCTCCTGCCTTCCTCCCCTGCTTGCCTTTCTGCCTACCGGACTTAGCGGCGCGGGATTTTTTCTGAGGAACCGGCACACCAGAGAGGGTGTGAACACACTTGGTCTTGCCGACATTGCTCGCAATCGTCTCACGGCGCTTGAGAGCTTGCTGGTAGAGGGCTCGGTGGTTGTTCACAAGTGTGTCAGCTTCAGCTTCAGTCATTTCTTATGCAAATGGCGATGGAAGCGTGACCCCCTCCAGCTCCTCGCCCACCCCCTGAACCCTTCTGGTCAGCCCATTCCCTGCCCGGTAATTTGTTTCTTCTACTTCCCCCATCGTATACGACGATATATCATCGTCTGTGAAAATAACGGCTTCATATACCAGGTGTAATGATACTTTGGAAGCATCAAAACTTGCACGAAAACGTTTCGACCGCCTATTCCTCTTCGGGAGTGAAACGTCAGCAAAAAAAATTCGGGCAAAGACGTTGCGAAATCCGATGATTGGTTGGCTTGCGCGAGGTCGGCTGGCCACGCCGCGTGCGGTGCGAGCAACTTGACACCCCCACGGTCCAGAGCCGACAGATGTACATGACGGCGCACGTTTCTGCTGAAATCAATGTACAATAACATCGCAACCGTCAGTGCGAATGCTGTCAGCTGGTTATGTCGAGACCGTCAGATGAGCACGACAGCATAGTGTCAGAATGTTATTATTGTCTAGCCTGTAGTGGGGTGCTCTATAGCGAGTACAACCCAGTTAGGGTTTGCTATATGTACCCCAACTGCTGCTAGTGAAACCCCTCTCCTTTCAATCATTCTTGCCTAGTCTTGTTGACATGGTATTCAGAGCAGGAGGTCCCTAGGACCTATCGACCGTTTCTTTTAAGGGCCCACCACCGCTCGCATGCGGTTACCACGCTACCCCGTGCCCTAGCCTCGTAGCGCCCTCGTGCGTCCTCGTTAGCGCCCTCGCGCGCCCTCGTTAGCGCCCTCGCGCGCCCTCGTTAGCGCCCTCGCGCGCCCCTCGTTAGCGCCCTCGCGCGCCCTCGCTAGCGCCCTCGAAGCGCCCCTCGTTAGCGCCCTCGCGCGCCCCTCGCAGCGTCGCCCGCCCGCCGAGCCGCCCGCTCGCCGCCCGCCCGCCGCGCTGCCTGCTCGCAGCGTCGCCCGCTCGCCCCGCTGCCCGCTTCGCAGCCCGCTCGCCCCGCTGCCCGCTTCGCAGCCCGCCCGCCCGCTCGCTGCCCGCTTCGCGGCCCGCCCGCTTCGCTGCCCGCTCGCAGCGTCGCCCGCCCGCCCGCTGCCCGCTTCGCAGCCCGCCGTGCGCTCAGGGCGTACGGCGGTTTTCTGCCCGCCGTGCGCCCCGAGGCGCGCGGCGGTTTCCTGCCCGTCGTGGCGCCCCCGGGGACCTGCGCGCTGCCCCCCGTCGTCCTCCTCCCGTCGCCTCGTCGCGGCGCCCTGGGGGCCCGCGCGTCCCCCCCCTCCCGTCGCCTCGTCGCGGCACCTTGGGGGCCCGCGCGCCGCCCCCTCCCGTCGCCTCGTCGCGGCGCCTAGGGGGCCCGCGCGCGGCCCCTCCCGTCGCCCGTCGAGCCGCCCTCGGGGGCCCGTGCGCGGCCCCCCTCCCGTCACCCGCCGTGGCGCCCTCGGGGGGCCCGCGCCCTGCTTCTTCGTGGCGCCCAAGAGCCACCCCGCTGCCTCCCTTTCCCTCCGTGCCCCGCCCCTGCTGTTTCCCGCGCTCCTGCCTGCGTTAGGGTTTGGGGGTGGCGGGCATGGGGGTGACCGGTGTGGGTAACCTGCGGCTCCTCCTCCTCCTCCGTCTCCCACTGCTGCAGCTGCCGCTGAGGGGGGTGGGTGTGTGGGAGCCGAGGGTTTAGGGTTTAAGGGGGGTGCCGTGGAAGTGGAGCTAGGGTGTCAGCAGGGGGTGTGTGAGAGGGGCGTGGGACGGTCGGGGGAGGTTGCGTGGAGGTAGCCGTCGTGACGCCAGCAGCGCCAGTAGTCCGGATGCCCTCGCGCGTTTCGGTAGCCCAGCGAGCCTGCTTCGCCAGTCGCCTGTGGGTCCGTTGCTCCTGTGTGTGCTCGTCGTAGCCGCGGAGCCAGATACTCCCGTAGTCCGGTGCCCTCGTGCGCTCGGTAGCCACTGTGCGCGCCGCTCCTGTTGCCCGTTGTGCTGTCTGTAGCTTCAGTCGGCGCCTTTCATCTTCTCGCCCTCACAGTTTCTCCTCCTCCTCACTTGCCCTCTATGATCACCTCTAGCTTTGCTTATAATTGTGAACTATTGCTATGCCTGCTCATTGTACTGATTACACCCCACTTTGGCTATGGGGGTGTGTCAGAATGTTATTATTGTCTAGCCTGTAGTGGGGTGCTCTATAGCGAGTACAACCCAGTTAGGGTTTGCTATATGTACCCCAACTGCTGCTAGTGAAACCCCTCTTGCCTAGTCTTGTTGACACATAGTTGTGGCTCTCGATCGATCCACACCGTCAAGATGGAATCTTCACTTCTACAGCACGACAGGTAATTGGAAGTTTCGAGAGTGGGGCACCACAGCTCAGCACGGAAATGAACCACGCAACCAGGCAACCAGGTTCATTGCACAAGACTTAGCCACGCGGCAACTACCCGCCTGTGACACCCCTCACCCTATCCAGCACAGGGGCAATTCTATGAACGTGGCTGAATTATGATGCGTTGGTTCGCCTCGGCGGTTTCCTATTGGCCACTAAAGGGTGTGTTTTGCCAGTTGTTGGCAGAAGTGACGTGGCCACGGAATGGAGTTTCCAGCATAGTAATGCTATGTAATTTCCCAATCAACTGGCGCAATGTACACTAGGTAACTTTCGCACGAATATTCAGGTTATACTATACTTATTAACATTATTGCCCAGCCCAATCATAACTGTATACTTTGGTTGCACTTTAAGTGTGTTTTTTCCAAAAATTTTAAGCAGTTAGTGAAATATGTAACCTTTTAAAATATATGTTGGTGTTATGCAATATACAAGTGTCATTAACACGACACATCAATATACAAAAATACCGCCCGGTATACAGTACATTTGTAGGAGCATCATGTCTTAACTCCCGATGTACGCATAGTACATATTAAATATGTAATTGTTTCTAAGTTGTTGCGTGGGTTATGTTTGACCCTACATAATGTTGTCCTTCCGCAGCTCTCCTTGCTCACATGTTTAGAAAGTCATCATATCCATCACAAGTGGGGCGAATGATATCAAACTTCACCAACACGCTTTTTATTTAGCACTGGCAAGGGAATAGGATGTAGTAGAGAACTGTGTGAAGAAATAGTGGTAAAAAAGGCATAGCTACATCCAAACGTTCGCGCGGTGACATGTTGCGCACAGGCCTATCCTTGCACAGATTCAGGCCAGCAAACGCACAAACATGCGCCACGCGCTGTGTAATTGTGGGAAGGAGGTCAAACGAGTTTGTATGGCTAGGGATTAGGATGTAGTAGAGAACTGTGTGAAGAAATAGTGCTAAAAATAGCATCCGAATGTTCCCGCGGTGACATGTTCCACACAGGCCTGGGTTTGCACAGTTTCAGGCCAGCAAATGCACAAACATGCGCCACGTGCAGCGTAGTTGTGAGAATGATTACAAACCTGTTCCTATGCTCAGGTAATAGGATGCACTAGGGAAATGTGTGAAGAAATAGAGGAAAAAACAACAGTCAGACGTTGAAACAGTGACACGTTGCGCACAGGCCTATCCTTGCACAGTTTCAGGCCAGCAAATGCACAAACATGCGCCACGAGCTGCGTATTTGTGCGAATGACCTCAAACCAGTTCCTATGGCTAGTAAATAGGATGTACTAGGTGACTGTGTGAAGAAATGATGGTAAAAATGTCAGAACATATATTGCATATGTTTTGTATAAGTGCATGCAATCTAGCTCTAGTGTAGTCGCAACTGTATTCTGTGTGGTGGTGCACCACTCCTAGCTTGCTTCTCTTCTATTTGTACCCAACATTCCATAGTGCAAGCCCTTCTTGCTTGGACATCTCTCTTGTGTCTAGGCTAAGCCCTAGCTCCTACTCCTAACTATGCTTTCTAAGCCTAAACCTAGCTTTCTAGGTGCTTAGTATCTCAACATGGTAACAGAGCCGTTACGTCCTTGGCCTGTGGGCCCCACGATGCTTCCGATGCTACTTCCTGCTATTTCCTGCCTGCCGCGCGCCCCGGGCGCGCGGCGGTTTTCTGCCCCGTCGAACCGCGTGTCGCCCCCCGTCGCCCGTCGCGAAGCCCCCAGGGACCCGCGCGTCGCCCCCCGTCGCCCGACGCGGCCCGCGCGACCTGCGCCAGGCCCGCGCGCGGCCCGTACAGGCTGCGCCAGGCCCGCGCGCGGCCCGTACGGGCTGCGCCAGGCCCGCGCGCGGCCCGTACAGCCCGCGCGCGGCCCGTACGGCCTGCGCCAGGCCCGCGCGCGGCCCGTACGGGCTGCGCCAGGCCCGCGCGCGGCCCGGGCAGCCCGCGCGCGCCTCGTCCGGCCTGCGGCAGGCCCGTGCGCGCGCCTCGTCCGTCCCCCGAGCTTCTGCCGGCGCCCCACCCCCGCTACTGCCCGCGTTCCTGTGTTAGGGTTTGGGGGTGGCGGGTGTGGGGGTGCCGGTTGTGTGTATGAGCCGTCCCCTGCTCCTCCTCCTCCTCCGTCTCCCACTGTTGCAGCTACCGCTGAGGGGGGTGGATGTGTGGGAGCCGAGGGTTTAGGGTTTAAGGGGGGTGCCGTGGGAGTGGAGCTAGGGGTTCAGCAGGGGGTGTGTGTCGAGGGGTGTGGGACTGTTGGGGGAGGTTGAGCGGAGGCCGCCGTCGTGTCGTCTGCAGCGCCTGTATTCCGGGGTTCTGATAGCCACCGGTAGCTCAGAGAGCCGGTTGCACCTGTCGCCCGTGGGTCCGTTGCTCCTGTCGCTGCTGATCAGACGCAGAGCCTGTTACTCCTGTATTCCGGGGCCCTTGCTCCCGGTAGCCACTAGAGCTGCACCAGAGCCGTCTGTTGCCCGTGTGTCTGCAGCTTCAGTCGTCGCCTCCACTCCTCTTCTCCTCTCACAGTCACTCCTCCTCCTCACTTCGCCTCTTCTTCTGCTGCGCCCTGCAGGGTGTACCACTTCTGGGGGTGTTCTGCACAAGGGCTATTCCTGCATGCACTTAGGGGGTGTGTCAGAACATATATTGCATATGTTTTGTATAAGTGCATGCAATCT